CATAGAGGCTCACATGGTTCCAAGCCCGGCAGTCATTTTCTCCTTTGCCCTTCTGCTGTTTTCTCTTTGTCTGGGTGCTGGGGAGTGCTGCTCTCAGGAAGGAGAGGAGCCAGCTCCTTCTTGTCCTGCCTGCATTTCTTAGTATTTCTGTTGGAGCATTTGAGACATGAACAGAGGTGGGTGGAGGTTTTGTAGTGCTCACAAACGGCAGCTGTTCAGCCCGGGCTCATGGCTGTTGCTGCTGCAGGTCAGGAGGCATGGAGCAGGGCTGGTGAGTTCTGCTTTCCCTCCCTGCTCCCAAGGTCACCTCTCTCCTTTTATCCTCATGTTGTGTTTGATCTTGGCTAGGTGAGGCTGGGATCCTTTGCAGGAGTCGGGGGTTACCCCCCCTTAATGCCCCAATAGGGTTTGCCTTCAGGTCTGCTCTGCTGCAGTCTTTTATCTTTTATCTACGTTCCTAAATGGATGTGTCCTGGCTGTGATCAAGTTGCTTCAATCTACTGATTTGGAATCCATCACAGAAAAAAGTGTTTGGTGAAAGTGTTGTTTTACTGTATGCGCAGTGTACATCCATACTCCGTATACAATAAAATATATTCAGGGGAGTTGGACTAGATAATCTGTAATGGTCCCTTCCAACTCAAATGATTCTGTGATTCTATATATATGAAAAATTCCTGTTTTTTCTTGTAAAAGTTCCTGCTGGGTGGATGTGGATCAAGTGTTTGTATGTTTAGTTTCAGCCCGTGAATCCGTCAAGATCCGTCACTTTTACATAAATAAATGATCGTCATTAATTATTTATATAAAATGGAGACATGAGGGAATGAGGAAGAAACGCTGAGAGTAAACACGAGGCTCTTAGGAGCCTGAATTTGAAATTGCTCAGAAAAGCAGTTTGGAGATGGATATTTTTAGAAATCTGCAATTTATTTTGGAGCAGAGAAAATTTCAACATTCCAGGGATGAAGAAGGCCACCTGTTTGGCAGCAGCTGTCCCACTGAGCCGGGCAGTGCTGCTGGCAGCTAATCATATCTCCAGCACTCAGATGTGGTGTGCATGTGGCGTTTCAGCCGGTGCACTGTGCAGACATATAGCTCGGTTTTCTTTTGTTTGCCCTGCATTTATCTGTGCATCTCATCTGGGCTGTGTTGTGGTGCATCTGACAAATGATCATTCCCCAGCAGTAAGCTGCAGTTCTATTTTGCAGTGTGGATACAGCAAGAATACATAGTATACTATTGTGACAGATGAAAGCCGTGGAAGTGGGCCAAATTCAAGCAGTTTTCCATTGCATCTGATCAGCAGATCCTATGGAGGGAATTTGCCTGCTGTGAATATTTGATTCTCACTAGCTCAAACTATCTTGTGTGCTGGCAGTGCTACTGTGTGAATTTGTGGTGGCTTTCCAGGGTGTCTGTCCTACACAGCTGCCAATTTCTGCTGGCTTTTATAGGGTTTAGGATTCGTGCTCTACTTTGTGTGTTAGGAAAATTACCTAATGCAGTATAATGATCGTGTCCCTTCACACCAACACAGCACTGAGGTTATCCATCTTTTAAAGAACAGCACAAACAAAATGGCAGGTGTTATAATCTCCCTCCTTCCACCATCATGGAGGTGCAGTCCCTCTGCCTTCAATCCTGCATGCATTACCTGCAATTGGTTGTTCTCTGTTCTGACACTGAGGGCAGCAAAAAATTGATAACTCTTGCATTTCCAGTACTTATAAGTAAGTGACACTGCATGAAGTGCTGACCTCATCGTGACTGTCAGGACTCTGCTTAGGCAAGCACAAAGCATTTGGTTTTTATTGTCAGTGTATCCTCTGCTTGTGTCCTTTATCTGTCACCACACTGAAGCATTTCTCTTGTGTAATCAGCCTGTCTTTTGTGCTTGAGGTAATTTCATAGATAAAAGCTACTTTTCTGCTTTAAAATCTTGTGCGATTAATGGAAGAAACTTAGGCTTTAAGCTCGCTTTTCCACTTGGTGTACAAGGGCAAAACCAGAAGAAGGTGATATAAGGGAGTCTCTGAACAGTGTCATGAACCCAAATTACACAAAGCCAGAGGCAGCTGCAGGTCCCCAGGGCACATAGTGCGCGATGTGCTGACCAAGTGACTGATGCTTCATCTACTCCATCTCTGTCACTGCAGCCAGGAACCACTGAGAGGAAGGCACTGACACCTTCCTTTAGTGTATTGAGAGAATCATGTGGTACTGCCTTGTAGGAGAGAATTCGTTTTGGTCACGTTTCCTCTTGGGGCACTGAGTGTTGCTTCCTGAGCCCACTGTAAAGGATACAGTCCTGCTAACTGAGGCATGCCAGATGACTGCAATCCTTGCCTTTGCTCTGTGGCCTGTTTGCACGCCTTGTTTAACTTTGCCAAGTTGTAGGGAGCTGGACACACACACTAGATGTGTGTTTTCAGTCCTTTATTTAAGGTAAGAGTGTTTTAGATGCACTGCTACTTGTGTATGCAGCACCCTTTTCCTTTTTCAGCAACAAAGAGGTGCTACTTTATAAGGGACTACAAAAAATGTGTGGTTAGAGCTCACAGATACGGAGCTATAATTTCTCTCAAAAGATGTAAGCAGAATTTTCTGAGAACTGAAGAAACCAGGACTTGGCCAGTGAATTGTGTGCTAATCCAAAAAGAAAAGCCTTCCTAGGAGCTAAGTGTTAGTGGTAAGACTCCTTTCACTCTTCAGTGGTTTAGGAGTGTTGTTCTCCAGCATCTCAATGTAAATACAAAATACAGGTTTCAACTGTACTGAAGCAAGCCAGGAAATGTTTAGTTTTGCAGTGTTGTGAGGTACATTTTGACTTGGGGATAGGCAAGCTTGACCTGAATATCTGTCACCTGTAAGCAGTTTTTGTTGTCACTGTTTAATCCTTGGAAATAAATTGCCAATTTTAGAATCACTAACAAAAACTCTGAAACTGTTAACAGAAGCAAAAACTTCTTTCAGTTCTCACCGATCACGTCTTGTTGACATCCATGGTTATTCATGCCAGAATAAAACACCAACTGTGTAAGGAACTGTTTGTGTGATGGTGCTAGTGACTGTTGGCAAATGTTTTTATGATGACCATCAGAATGTAAGCATGTACAAGAACAGGCGTAGGGTTATGATACTGTTTTGTTGTGTTTTGGGGTTTTTTTGAGAAGTGGACATTTGTTCATCAGCAGCAGGACTGTGTGTCCAAGCTAAAGGGCTGCCAAATGACTGATACTTTTGCTACTGCTTATCATAACTTGGATATGAACTTCTGGCATAAAAATGGTAACAATTAGTTACCCCTGGAGTTTCCCCTCCCTTGATTGTTTTCTAAACCTATTGGGTTACTGTATTGTGTGTGTCCTGTATATTTTTGTTAGGAAATGTTGTTGGCAACTTTTGTTTTAAAGGCTTTTGCATTTTATTAGTTTTACACATTGCTCCACCCACCACTTGGAACTGACCAGAACTGCCCGCCTTCAAAGGCTGAACACAAGAGTTATTCATGTTGCAGTTGGAAATACTGTGGAAAAATTATAATGCAAACAGCAAGCCAGATGGAGAATTTTACAAGCATCTTTTCATGTCATGAATGATGCTGTCTCTCAAGGTTATGGGCTTTCTGCTCTCTCAACTGCTATTTCTTTCCCTCTGGCTTTGTTCCAGAGCTGTTAAGTTTCAGCCAGGGAAGAAAGAGAGATTTGGACTCCTCTAAATTTCTAAGTCCTTATTTCTGTGTGGGGTGGCTGGTGACAGCAAGCTTTGTGTGTGAGAGTGCTGGCATGCAGAATCCCCGCGATTAGCATGCTGATGGCTGCTCCCTGCCAGGCTGTGTCAGGGGCACACAGACAAAGCCTTCCACCCAGCATAGGGAGGGCTTTGGTCTCCTGCTGAATACACTGAGAGCTACCCGGTATCTTCTGGCCTTTCCTTCCTCATTTCTATGGAAGTGGAATTCTCTGTTGTTCAGGTGTCTCCACGCACATGGTGCTCCTCCTCTCAGTGCATAGGGCAGGATGCCTCCAATTGGAATTTCTACATGAGAGGCCTTAAAGGATACCAAGCTGTGTGTTGAGGCTTCACTTGTCTGCCCATCTATCATTGCATCTGCCGATTGAGCAGCACATATATCTAATAATTTGTTCTCTTGATCTTAAGCACTTATCTTGCATATAAAAGCTTCACTGGTTCTATAAAAGGGTGGTGGTGTACATGCATATGTGTAAGTATAAAATATATAGTAGACATACGTGCACACAAGCAGATTTGATCGCCTCCACACAAACCCATCTGTTATCAGCCCTCTTTGGTTTCAAAGTGGTTTGTATCAGATTGGGCTTACTCTAACAGTGTAACTCCTCTATGAACAGTACTGCAAAGGGAGGGGTTACTTCAGCTAACAGGCGGTGGCTGTCTGAAGTGTAGCTTCAAGCATCTATTTGTGGAGAGACCACCTACCTCTGTTTCCAGTGGGTGATTAAGCTCAGAGGGGCAAGTGGGCAGTTGCGTGTAATGGGAGTAACTGGTTTGAGTTTGTATTGACATACAACACATTTTATGAACTGTTTGCTTAAGTGGTGGATGATCCACATCTGCCTTAATCACTTGTTTTAGAAATCCAGTTGTTTCTTTTCTGGCTTGTAACACTCTGAAATTCTGCTGACAGCCTACAGCAGTAGGTGAGGAAATTAGGAGGGCCTTTTTGTTTAAAGAAATTGCCAACATCTGGGTTTGGAAAGAGAAAACAAATTTTGTTGCAGTTATATTTGGGGGGAAAAAAAATAAAGTTTTATTTAATACTTGTCTGGTTTTCAAACATAACCTATACTGACTTCCTAAGTTATGTAACTGGCAATGGCTTTGCTTCTTCACCTAGCTAACAATGTGACTCTTAGAGAGCTGTTACTGAATTGGGGAGATGTTGGTTTAATAAGATGACCTTTGCAACTGAAAAAAAGTTAAAACTGTTTTTGTGTGTGTGTGCCTCATTTCAGGATAATATCATCTTATTCTTAAGAGGCTGCAAAGAGCTGGGACTTAAGGAATCTCAGCTGTTTGATCCTGGTGACCTGCAGGACACCTCAAACAGAGTAGCTGTCAAGTAAGTACAACAGCAGTTTGTGATTAGCCTGTTATAACCTCACATGCATGCAGTTAAATGGTAAATATTTGAGAACTGGCAAAGAGGATATGGAACTGTCATTTGTATAAAGCAAATAGGAAGCTGAGGTTTTTGAAACCTTCAGCACTGGGAATAATACATTGTTCTCTTCAGCAGCCTTTCTTTAAAGGTTATTGTATTTTTTCCCAGAGAAAGCAGCCACAGCTCTTTTAAAATACTGGTTTAATTTAAACAATGAGATTGTATGGGACTTAAGTGGTTTCCTGAGTCTAAATTGATGGCATTTTTTTGTCTATCCAACTAACAAACTATGTAACTGGGGGAAAAAAAAAAATCTCTGCTCTGTTGTTGCATAACTGTTTTGAAGATGCCTTATAGGACATTTATGGGCCTCTCAGACTCTACAAGATGCAGACAATGAGAATGGTTTGTTTATTTTCTACCAAGAACAGTAAGTTGTGACACAGTATTAGGGCTGAGGACTTCTGTCTAACCTGTATGAATTGAAAATGCCCTGATTCAGATAATTCTTGCCAAAGCCACACGCCTTCTACCACATGGATTACCACATATATGCTAAGGGGTTCTCCTTCTTAATAACTAATTCAGTTAGTTCAATTTAGCAATGGTTTGTACACTCTTTGTTAGATGCTTGTATTTTCAACATTTGATTTATGAAGTCATGTAAATGACAGATGTGAAACTGGCACAGAAGGAATTACTGGTCTTGCTGAAGGTAGCACAGAACAGTCTTTAGTCATAGTCTGTATGGCCGTAGATTGAGGCCTTAAACAGAAAATGTTCCTTTCAGGGAAGATTTTGTTATCATGTTGGAACAGAAGAAATCAAATTGTATTTTTTACTAGTTCATTCTAATGGCAGTCAAACTGCTCAGCCCCAAAAACAAGCACCCAACACTGCTTCACAGAATTAACAAGATACATACTTGTTATCTAGGTGTTTTCACAACATTTTTAGATCTGTCATGTAATATAAAAAAGTTATTGCTCTATAGACAGGGAAATACTGCAGAGTTGATTGAATGATCTTACTTCATTTGGCCAAAGTGATTGCTAATGAAATCCTGGTCAGACATATTCATTTTAGAAAAGTGTATGGAAACAATTTACTAAATCTCAGCAGCATTCTAGTTTTTTCCCCTCTGGCATTGAAAGCTGGGCAAGTTTTCATGGTGTTCAAGTACTGTCTGGGAAAATTCAAAGGTTCTGAAAATCACATTGGCCGCTTTCTTTACTTTGAGGAACAGTCTCCTACTTTTTGTTCCCTTCCAAGTTTCTGGCTCTGGTATATGCCGTTGAGAGAGAACCATGTAATGAGTCTGCAGCGAGCTTTCCCAGCCTTGTTCTAAATCTGGTGACACTGCCATGTTCTTCATGACATCCTGTGAAATATTGACCGTGAGTGGCTGCAGAGAGTTGCAAAATAGTCCCTAATTTCCAGATAGAACCAGAGATAAATGGTCCTTATAAGAAGCTGCATCTTTAGGAGTTGAGGATAGCAGAGCATCTGGTAGCAGCTCCAGGGAGACCTACCCGCACGTAAACCTTTCCCACCAGGAATAAGAAACTGTAGAGTTGCCTCATCCCACAGCTGACTGCGATGCTCAAGAGATGTGAAGTGGCTCACTGGCATGGATATCTTTCCCTCATCAACTCTTCAGAGAAAGCAGCTGTGGAAATGAGCCAAATGTTTTCCCAGGACTGTACAAGTTCACACTGAGTAGCTGAGTGAGGTGTACAAGCCAAGTCCATGACTGTTGCAAAGAAACACGTTCAAGACTGTCTTCATCTAGCTAGATCTCAAAGTAGGAAGGTGATTTTTTTCCCCTCTTTGAAGACTTTTGGGTTATTTTTGTTAAACACAGTAAAAATTGTATTATTGCACATGATTAATGTAATGATGATTTTTAACTTTTTTCATATAGGTGCTAATTGAAGTATGTATTAGATCTATTTTTTTTGGATCATTCAACTTATAAAGGTTATGAGCTAATGCTGCAAAGAATTTCATACTGATTTGTTAAACAAGACTTTTTTCCACTATTTTATTTTAAAAAGTAGGGCTGTTTTATATTTCTTACCATATATGTATCCATTGATAAAATTTTGGCTTAAAAAAAGTTATCAAAAACTCTTGGTTTTAGTTTTGCCTATATTTAGGCTTTTGTTATTCTCACAGATTTAAGTTAAGTATTTTTGTTTTTTGTCAGGTAACATTTAATGCTGGGGTGGATCATATTATATAGAAGGCAACTGACAATTCTATTACTTAATAATAAGGAAAAAATCTGTGCTAAATCAGAAATATTCTGTTTTCAGCACTTAAAAGCGGTACACATTTTCTTTCTTCCTTTTTTCTAGTAGCATCTGCTGGATTTTGAATTGTTTCTTATGGTTATGCAAACTTTCTGCTTTATTGTTTCTGCAAACTTCCATTCTTTTTGATGAAAACTGGTGCCCAGTCTGAGTTCTAGAGTGTACATTCAAAACATAGAATGTACTTTACGCAGCAGGTTCTGTTGTAAAGGTTCTGTCTGTGGCAGGATCTTTATTGCTTCATCTACCTGCTTTGTTCTTTGTATCCTCAGAAACACCTGCTGTATTTCATTGATTTCCTTGAAGTCATATGCATGTTCAGTTGCTTTCAGAATCTATACGAGTTGCGTGATTTATCACTGAGCAAAATCTAACTTCTGGATAACTGCAAAGTTGTTTTTAGCAGTGGGGACTTTGGTCTTTTTTGAATGAATCAACAACACAGTTTAAAAGAAATATTTTTGGCACTGCCCTACTTCACTGTGGGATTGTTACAAACACATTTTCTTTTTGTACTTCCAGAAGTATCATTTAATGATTGAAATAATGGTGACAAAATACTCCCACGTTATGAATACATGAATGTGTGAACAACATCTTCTTAGCTTTCATGTCTTTCTAGATAGCAGAAGCATTCTGCAGACTTTTATTGGGGAAAACATGATCTGCTGCATACATGCTCTTGAAAAATGGGTCTGCATTCTGATTTTTTTTCTTTTTTTTTTTTTTTTCTGTGTGTGTGTGTGCATGTGCAACCAGGAACATTGACTGTAGTAGGAAGCTGAAAAATGTAAGTATGTGACTTGGATTATTTTTTTGTTGGTTATATTTGACCTCTGCTAGATTTTCTGTGTCAGAAAAAACAAGTATAGTTGAGTATTTCTGATATGTCCTCCTGCATACAAATCTTAACTGGGTTGTACTGGAAACTTAGGTAGAGCTGCTATGGCAGAGCAGCCATCTTTGGTTAGATAAGGAAGCAAACCATCTGACCTCTGTGCTGTCCATTGTGGCTTTCACCAGAATGGTCTGATTCAGTCGTGAGGCTACGTCCTTGCAGCATTACCTGAATAAAAAGAAATTTGTGCAAAATATTTTAAATGAAGCAAAATGGTCGTTAGATCTGCACACCAGTCTTTACTAGCTTTCCCATTCTTCCAAATTAATATTTTCCCAGAAAGGCTAATTCCACCGAACTTTATTGTTGATTTGAACTAATGGTAATGATAATAGATTCTGTAATTGTTAGGTAGAAAAGAAAATGGCTAAACTTTGTTAGAGTCAGAGTTAGTTATTCTCCCAAAGCTTAACAAGCTGTCTCTTCTTTATAGGCACAGAAACTGCTATAAATTCAATTTTATATTTAGCTCATATCCCTATAGACTGCTAAGAAATGCCAAGGCCTTTTCCTAATAACTTTTCAAGCCAGTACTCATGACTGCAGGTAAAAGAAGAAGAAAAACAAAAGAAGAATAGTCTTTCCCACCAATATTTAAGTAGTATCTTCTGCATCTAACACACCAAGTTATAGGAGAAGAGTTTAGCTTTGCCATTTTAGCACCCTTATGGGCACTGGCTGTACGTATTTGTATAAAGGTAAAGTTCCAAAATTGTCCTCTAAAATGTGTTTGTGGACAGCATATACTTTCAGTGTATATTTTCCAGGTGCACATAAATTAAATGCAGTCTCGGCTGGCAGCCAATCAGAATTGCTCGCAAATATGACATTATTTGGGGGGAAAAAGCCACAGATAAGAACAGAAGAGAGTGATCAAATGCTAGCAGAAAGAAATAGAAATACCACAACTTTCACCAGAGTACTGAGCAGCCAAATGAACTGGACAGCTTCCTCGTTGCTATAATATGAGGTTTGCAAGTGTTTTCACTTGAGAACACATACTATAAGAGATATTACATAAATTTGCTGTTCTATGTTGAATGGTGTTTGTTGAATGAAAACAGTTCAAATACTTTTTTTCCCCTCAAAAGACTAAAAAAACCAAAAAAAAGTATTGGCAAAACTACCTCGTTTTCCTCGTGACAGTAGTGTCACCATGTATGCACTTCTTAAAATGAGAAGAAAAAAAAACCCAAACTTTGAACTGTATTAAAAAATTTATTCTGCAATTTCATGGTATGTGTATTATTTATACAGTGTACCATGGCTGTGTTTTCCAACGGGCAATTTGCATGATACTCAGTGCTGTCTAGCAGGGCCTCAGCTGCAGCGCTGTGTGGGACTTGAATAAGAAATGGGGACGTTAGAGAAAGTTGGATGAAAAAAGGGCAATCAGAAGTCTAGTAAATGTGACTGAGGAGGAAATACTGAAGGAATTTGGTTGCATGTTTTAGGAAAGAACAGTACCTGTCACTGCATCCCCTCAGGTTGTCTTACATCCCTTTCATACCATGTTTTGTAGTATACATTATACAGACCTGTCAGTACTTAAAATACTGTATTTCAGTTTATTCAGTTTTTGGAAGATTATTAATAGCAATTGTTACAGACAATTACAGTTTAGTATTGGTTGCACCAGCTTTCCACACCAAAATATTTCCTGTTTATTCTGCAGTTAAATGCTTTGCCATGCCATGGAATAGGCAAAAATAATGAGCATTATATGAGAAAATGCTGTAAGTTCTGAGGTGTTAGACATTTTTAACCAATCCAAAACAGTGACCTGAAGTAATTTTGATGAGCAGTTTCCAGTTCAAATTGCTGTTTCACAGGTTCTGTTAAAGATATTGCTGCCTGATAACTGCAGACACATGTGGGTCCATAGAACGGTTTGCTTTCCTTGCATGACATAAACGTCACTGCTTTTGGAGGTGCTGAGTTTGACCATCCTAGGCACCTTAATGTCTTCTTCCCTAAAACAATTGCTGCACTGATCTGATGCACTGATGTTCAGTTCAGATCGGATTTCTTTTGCTGCCTAAAGGAGAGAGAGTACATAAACATTTGAAAGTGCAATTCTTGGCATTTCTTCTCTGCTGGTTTTGAAGTGACTCTTGTTTTATGGATAGAAATAAAGTCAGAACTTGAATGAAACCATGAACTCTTTCCCATTTAGTATATTAGAAACAATCAGATGTTCATGGCCTTTGATTAATCTTGCACTGAGCTTTTCTTAAGATAGCAGAATACTGGAAGTAAATGTTCCCATATCATCTGGTAAAGTACATTAAGATGATTAAAATTGAACTACCTTTTATTTCCTTGAAATGGGTAGAAATACATTTCAGATGTTCTATTTATTCCATTAGTTGTAAGTAAATTAACAACCACTAGTACAGGTACTCTTTAGGTGTTTGGTTTTTTCCTGTTGCATGTACAAATAGGCATATTTGCAAATGTCTTTTCTGGACAGTTTCAAATTTCTTGCCTGGTTTTTCTATTCAGATTTATTTTTGCTGTTTATTTTCCAGGCAGACATGACAGGACCATTTTTTATGAGAAATACCAGGAATGTAATGTATTAAGTTACATCTTCTGCTGGCCTGATTAAATTTGCGTAGTTGCCTGATGTGTTTATGCCTAATCATCTACAGGTTCTTCCCTTTCAACTGAGATTTATAACAAAGTCTTGTGCTACTGGACAGTTTAGAATAAATGAGAAATGCTTAAGGGAAGTAAATTAAGTTAAGTAACTGTGAAGATGGCTTCAATTAATTCTTATTAACTTCTACAGGTATTAGTCACCATTTATTGGCTAGGAAAAGCAGCAAACAGCTGCACATCATATAGTGGATCAACCCTGAACCTGAAGGAGTTTGAAGGTTTACTGGCACAAATGAGAAAGGTATCTATCTTTTTGTTATGTTTTGGGAATAAAAATTTAGTTCAAAGGATTACTCCCATAAATAACATGTTTGTTGCTAAACGTAAGAGAAGTGGTGGATTTGAGTACAAATTACTTGTAAACCCCCACCTCCTTTGAAAATGTTTCTGATTGTACCAAGCCATAAACATGACTTTCTTTGGCAGCCAGCTTTGTGGTGATATTAATGATGCAGCAGTTGATGTGAAACAGGGCTTGAGAATTGTCATCTGGCTCTGTCATCTTCATTTCCACAGTTTTTTTGGTTTGAATTATTTTCATTTATGACATAGAGCTTTAGCTAGAAGAGCTGAGACTCAAAAGTAGGCTGGTGGGACTTTGCAGAGAAGAGATTTATTTTCTTTAAAACATTCATTCTCAGACAGCTCTTTCTTTTTTAAGTTGTAACATAAAGCATCAAACCAAAGTATCTAAATAAAGCTGAAGGGTAGAAGGAAGAAATTATGCTTTACAAAGGGCATGGTTATGGTAAACCTGTGTTTTGGCAGACCCTAAATTCTGACTGAAAACATATTTGGTGGCTTATGATGAGCTGAGCTCTGTTGGAGAAGAAAAGTTGGTGTTGCTGTAGAGTGATCTGGGGACTTATGGCTGAGCCCTACAGCATGCCTGCAGCCTCGCTATGGGATACAGCCTCAGCAGTGGTTGGCATTGGCATCCATTTATGCATTTTCTGGGATTGGAAGCAGCAAGCAGCAGACACCTGGTCCTGATGTTACATATGTTGGACATACAGCTCATGAAGTAGCATGCAGGTACTTTCTCCGGTCCTCAGACAGCTTCCTGCCTGCCACTTCCTTCCCATCCCACAGGTTTGGGGACCATGGGAGACTATTTTCACATTGTCATCACCGAACTCTGAACTCCTGCATCTGCACCAGCTGCAGATCCTTGCTCTTGGATTTCAGAGGGCTGGCACTGGGCTGCCCCTGGACAGGAAGAGATATTTGGCTGATTGATATCAGTTTTTACATTTTCTACATTCTAGTGTCAGGAGGCTCTCAGATTGATAACGTCTCTGTTTGTGAGCACAGAGCAATGTGAAGGAAAAGAAACATTTCTCTTTCTCTGTACAGGTTTGTTTTGGTCTTCATTTGAAAGGGCCTTCACTAATCACTCCAGACTTCGCAAAACAGGAGCAGTACAACTGAGACTAAGCACAAAAGAAATTGAGCTAACACTTGAGTTGTTTTCTGCTCGATGCAGGAAGGAGCAGTCCCCACTCCAAAGTTTGTAATCTGGAAGGCAAAACAAAGATAACCACCAAAGCTAAGGCAGAAAAAAGTGCAGGTTGATGGAGTGTTAGTGGAGCATGGTGCTACAGTTTATCTTTTAATATTTGATCGACAACATGAGGCTCCTTTTTTTCCATGTCATTTTTACTCATCTAACAAATCATCTGAAGGGGCATTTGGTGGGACAAAGGCACAGGACTCCAGAGGAAGAGATCTCAGCAGAGCTCACAGCAGAGTGCCTGGCAAGCAGGGCAGAGCCTGCAGGTTGAAGACAAAGCAAGAGACTGGGACTTGATTTGTTGCAGATGTTGGAACTGGGAGCAGAGCAGAGATCTCATAAAAGCTGAAAGCTACATACTCCTGTAATGTAAAAACAGAGCATTTCACCATCCTGAAAAGTCTGTTCAGCTGGTGCTGGTAATGAGGGTCACTGGCAACTCATATTGAGCTCTGCTCCTGTTCCCCTGCGGTACCCCGTATCAGCTGTCGTGGCCTTTTCTCTTTCTAAATTTGAAGAGGATTTGGTTGTAAAATGGAACATGTTAATCATGCTGTGTAACACTCTGATGTTCTTTATAGCTGAGCTTGAGTGCTGAAAAGACACTTTATCACATTCTCTACAGGCAATTTTTTGCACAGAATTTAATAATTAAATCTACCATAAATTCAGTCTGGTTTGGTTCTTCCACTATAAATCCCCTCTGCTCTCCTTTTTAAATAAGGAAATCAAAAGACAGCTAGATGTAAGTTGTCTTGGATTAATCTTTTTCTACTTCCCCTCCTGAAAAGACTATTCATTTCTAATTTTATTCGTACTGCTCTGTTTTTAATTTCATTAACTATTTGGATATGTGTCTCTGTTAGTTTTAAACTGGAAATTCCCAATGACAAAACATTCATAGCTTCTGATTATATTCGGGGGGTGGAATTTCCTGCAGAAATATATCTTCTATTGGACAGCCACCCTTCTGCTACTGCAAAATGACGTGCTATACCGTTGCCATAGTATGGTGACATACTATGTTTTTAATTCGATAAGGTGAAAAGCAATGAGCTGTTCTGAGCTATCAGTCCTGCAGATAACCACTTTCTTTTTCCCACTGACAACATCTGGGAGATGACGTTCTTTCAGGGCAGGACAAGCACCCATTTGTGAGACAGCATTTGGCTGGGAGGGATGTTTGCCAAGGGGAAGGCATAAAGGACGTGTTTGCAGAAGTCTAGGATACCATCGTGGTGCCTGCCTCCTAATTCCTGGTGAGCTGCATGCGGAATTAACATAAACAGGCTTTTGAAAGAAAGGCCTGCAGAACTCATTAGTTCACAATTGGACTGTTTTCAAACTCTGGGAGATAGCAAGCACAGGACGGGGCTTTTTTGCCTGAGTTTAAGTCCTGTGGCTGCTGTGCATTTCTGTGTCACTCAGACACAGTAGTTCGGGAAAATGGAAGTGTGCCTGAGGCCTGAGAATAGCTGATTGGTATGAAGAGCCGAGGGGATTTAGGGAATTTGGATTTTAAAAGGATTTTGGATCATGTCACAAACAGGGTTTGATAGGATTTCTAGTTTTGTTCTTGGGTCTGTGTAACCCATGCAGATTTCTAGGATACAAATCTTTGCTGTCTGGCATTTCTGGCAGTATTTTAACCCATGTGCTAGGCAGGAGTGGGGAAGGAAATGACATAGGGTTCAATTACTACTTTGTTAGATATGTTTTTATTTTAGAACATATTTTAATTTTGTTTGCAATGAGGTTACTCACTGATGTTATCACAGGTTAGCTTGGTCTTAGGTGTCTGCTGCTGTCCTTAACATGGTATTTTGGCAGCGTAATAGTGATAATAGGCATTCATTGAGCCTTCTTCCTGAGAAGTCTGCAGGATGGTGAGTCTGCTTTCTGCAGTCCTCGAGCCTCCTGTTTGTGTGTTCCTGCAGTGCTCTCCTCCTGTAGTCGCTTCTCCAGCAAATGTGCTTTGTCACAGGGGTGCCAGAGCACATGGGGATGTTTGAGGCTGATCTCGTCATTGGCTGTGCCAATGATGGGTAATGCCCGGGCAGTCAGGGCTGGTGGGAGCTGAACTGAACGTAGCTTTTGTGCTCCAGTGAGTGGTGACCAGGGGGTGCTTCTTAATTAGGAATTAATATTCAAGTGCTTCTGGAAGGAGAAAGAGAAACAACAAAAAAAGCACATTCCAACCTCCTTGGGTCACAAAATGTCAGTCTGATAATGGCACCCACATTTTTGACTTTGCTTACTGTCTAGGGAAAAAAAAAAAACAGGTTTATCTTTGAATAAAAGTTATTTTTGTTTTTCTCCGCCCGTGCTATTGTAATTAATGTTAAGACACTCTCTAAAACAAGGGATTTATTATAATACAGGGGTGAGGATGGCTTCTATTGACCTTTTTCCTCTGCTGGAGTTTCAGTGTTTTAGTATGTGCTGCTTGCACTGGAAAGAATTTATAATCACAGGGCTGTCAAAGACAACCATTGTTCTCACTGCTCTGAACATGTGGGTCAGCTACAAGCGCTTTCATATCCCCCAGAGCCAGGAGCTGGCAAAGAGTAAAGAGCACAACTGAATTCTTCTGAGGCATCAGGAAAAGCATTTTGCATATTTTTCATTGCTGATTGCTTCAGAAAGACATCCCTCTTTCATAACAGGAATTTCTCTTCAAGGTAGAGGGAGGCTGGGGCACACTGCTTCATTATTTTGCTGAGCTGAAGCAGCAACAACAAATGCTGTCTGCTGGTGTCCCAGCCAGATACAATAGATAGGCAAGGGGAGGGGGAATCCTTTGCAAAGCAACAGACTTAAACCTGATGCAGGCATGATGTTAGAATTGTAGTACTTTTGTTGCTGCTATGGACTATGAACGACAAGTCACGTTTCAGGTTTCTCTTGGTTTTGATCACTTTATTGACTTGGTTGTTGCAACTTTTTCACAGCTTATAGATCTAATCTAATATGCATACTTGGCTGTTAATTAGCATAAAATTGGGTTTATTGCAAGCTTGCACTTCTGTTTTCAAGGGGAAAGGGACAGAAAGCAAGGAAATCTTTTTCAGGTGAAGAGGTTTTTATTTGGAAGATGCTGCGTTATCTGATGTGTAATGAGTCTCATTGGTATGTCAGTGGCTTCTTTCTGAAGAGGTACCTACTGTACTTCATTTAGGAAACAGAGGATATTGAGAGCCCAAAGCGCAGCATTCGCGACAGCGGCTACATAGACTGCTGGGACTCGGAGCGCAGTGATTCCCTCTCCCCCCCGCGCCACGGAAGAGATGATTCCTTTGACAGTCTGGACTCCTTTGGCTCCCGCTCACAGCAGACACCATCCCCAGATGTAGTGCTCAGGGGAAGCAGTGATGGTGAGTACTTGTCGCCACGAGGCATGCGTTGTCTCTGGAGTAAATGTGCCTTTCAGAAGCTGGGCACAGCGTCTGAATTGCGCTAATCCTGCAGGAGAGCTTCACTGTGAATGCTGATTTGTGCTCCCCGAGGTTCGGATGACTTTGCCAACAGCTAACTTGAAGTCTGCCTCAATTTGGATAGCAGAGTTTTGGAAAATGAGTTACATCATTGCAGTGTAATTTTATTATTGGGATAGTGCTTTTCTGGGTTATGGTGTAAGAGGATGTTATGCAGACTCATTTTAACTTTTAAGCTAGGCTGGAGCAAGAAATAAAAGTGCAGGAACAGGGGAAATAATGAAGCGAATAAAATGTTGCCTAAATAAATCCTAGACAGATAAATGACCTAGAAATATCTTGGAAATGTCTGATACTTGTCTGAGCTTTGAAGTCTGATATAAAACATGCCACCAAGTGCCATGTGAGCTTTCATGATATTTAGAAAACTGGGCAACTGAACAGCTCCCAGCATCAGAGCTGTGGCCATATCTGTACCCCTTTGAGTCCAGCTCTTGCCTGGCAGGTGATATGCTGGTTCTCCATCTTTCTTGTTTGATTCCCAGATGCTTCCTGAGGCTTGCAAATACAGCATGCAATGTGGGGAAGGGTATTGTAGAGGCAGGTGTAGAGCATGCACTCAAGTTGCCTGCGTTGAGCAGGATTCTAGGTCAGAACAAAGGACGCTTGATTCAGACTCCATCTGCTTGATTGCATTTATGGTGAACGAATGAGTAAGTTGAACATCATCAGATGAAGTTATATTCAATGCATGAATCACTTCTCCTTAGTAATGTTATTAATTTAATAAAAAAGGAAGGTCAAAAAGATATTTTGGTAAGAACCAGATGTTCATACTGCTTTTGGCAGTGTGAAGGAAACTGGTGCTAATCATAACCGGATGCCTGAGAGATTTCCTGAGGTGATGGGGAACTCCTTAAAACCGAAAAGTTGGCAGGGAGAGCCAGTAACACAGATGGGTTGTAAAGGAGCTATGGGGAAAGTATGGTTACATTCTGCTGCTCAGCTGTTTTGAGTGGCATGTGTTATGTGACTGTTGCTGGACAGCCATCCAGAACCAGCCACTGGGACTGATGGCTTGAAAAAGCCTGTGACCCCTCAGACACAGAACTGAATTCAGTCTCCATGTTAGAAACCATTTTTCTGCCTTCCTAAACAAAAGTGTGTTGTTGGCAAATAGGAGCACCTTGCTTGTCCTAATTGAAAGCGTTGCTTCCTTCTGACTTCTTCCCTGCCTGTTGGGAGCTGCTGGGCAGCCTGTTACACCCCTCCTGAAACTGCTTCCAATGAACTTCTGCTGTGTTAGCAGATTTTTGTAAGGTTTTTTGGTTGCTTGTTGCTGTAGCTAAGACATACTGTCTTGTCACATTCTTGAGTCCATAACAATCACAAGATAAGATGCAAGCGTACAGAGCTTGTTCTTAAAAATTCATCTTTAACCATCTCCGGACTGGGGGTGCATGCAGATGTAGCATGCATGTGTATGGCTTATTGTGAAGACTCTTTCTAATGCATCGCATTTTCCCTACTTGCTGCTGCCATGACTTCACAGCTGTCTCTTCCAAGAGCTGCAGCTGAGGTGTCGCTTGGCTGACCTCTTTTCTATCTAACCTCTCCCTTGCAGCCCCAACAGGCCAGTGTTTCACTCAGCTGCATATGTTTGTTGATAGAAATACTATATATGCAAAGCTGGAGGGAGGAAAAGATACTCTTCACTTTGCTTTTCGCAGATAGGATCTTTATAAACCTAAGAATAGGAAGTAAAATGAAATTATGATACCTTGTACTCCTAGAAAAAAAATGGATGGAGATCATGTAAGTGATTGTAAAGCAGTGATGAGCTAAGCTAGAAGCGTTAAGTAGTACCACCTTCCCTGTTGCCACTTGTGATCAGCATCTCTGTTCAGGTACTGCTCTGGTGTCCTACGTGGCCTCTGTCACTTGACAAAAAGAAACAAGACTAGTGACAGAGCAGAACAGTGTGTTAAAATCAGTAGAACTGCAATCTGACCTGCTCCAGAGTCACTGATGTATCCAGGAGCATATAAATCTTTTGCGTGGCTGGCAGTTGTGCACAGTGCCTCTTATGAACTCATGTAGGTCCCTTGACACACTGTTGTGTGCAAATCTGTAGTATATAACTGCTTGTTATGGGCTGTGGAAACTGGCTGCTTCTTCTGCTTGGAAATGCAGAAGAACAAAATGAATGTTATAAATGTAAAGCACAGCTGCATCTTCTACTGAGTGCTCTGGCTTAAAGGGATGATTTTTTTTTTCTTTCAAATCTCAGCTGAAAATAATTTTATGAGTAAAAGATGAATAATTAAATAAGCTGCTTTCCTTTGAAGTACCAAGCGTGGATATGCTTGTAGGCACACAGCTAATGAGGAAGAGGAATCTCTTTTTATTTGTCTGCTACTGTGATTATCTATTCCAGCATTTCTGTCCGCTTCTTCAAGACTAGTTTTCATGCAATACAAAAATAAACACCAAAAGAAAGAGTAAACAGAATAGCAAATAATGTGAAGGGATCTTCTCACCTACTTCTAGGTCCTCTATGGCCCTGCTTAATCTAATGGTATTACAGCTCTTCAAATCTTTGCTGCCCTCAGACGTTTGTGATTTTGTGGCTGTCTCCGATTTCTTCTTAGACATAGGCAGAGGCTGCCAATCACAGTGCTAGCTGTCATATGCTCTTAACCAAAACTGTCCAAGCAAAACCTTTCTGACAAAAAGTACATTGTGAATTTTGTCTTTCTAGTTGTTTTCCATTGTGTCGTCTTGTCTTGTTTTACTGTTCCCTTTCCTTCTTCATCTCTCTCCATGCAAACACTGAATCATGAAATCTGCTGTAAAAGCTCTTTGCAAATAACATTCCTGCCATATTTAGACCTCTATTCCTTCACCCTGCTTTGAATTACATGCAAGCTACTTGTGATTTTTATGACTTCATTGTTTTCAGTTTTTCATGAGGTAGCTCAGTGAATTAGCTAGTAATTTATTAGCACAGTGAATTAGCAAGAGGACACAGTCTGGGTGGCTTCCCCCTCTCCCCAGGCAGGGAGAGCAGCTATTGCATATGCAAGTGTTGCCAAGGGGCCAATTGCCAGAGAGCCAGCACTCCAAAGCTGGGAGAGCGTTTGAATGCTGGTGGGAGAATTGGCTGTGCATTTCACTCACTTTCAGTCTTCAAATGAGGGCCTGTGATGAAGTTGCACTTCTGGGAGAGAACTATTTGTACAGCTTGTTTGTGAATTACTTTAAAAGGCTCATGATTGTGCAGGGAATCTAGTGAATATCTACAAAGTACTTTCCAAAATGTCTGTGAGGGCAGTTCCACTGGAAATGCTCTTTAACATATTTGCCCTACCCTTGGGGAGTTCCATTTGCAACTGTATTTTCAAGCTGAAAAACCATTTTCCTCACCTTTGTGAATACAGTTTTTAAGTGGGTTGTGAATATCGGGAAGCTTACTTCATTTGTACAAAATAATCTCTGAGTTCTGTTCATCTCCCATCTTATTCTCTGCAACTCTTTATTTTTCTCTCACCTGTTTTCCTTGTCAACAAGTATTATTCAGTCTTCGCAGTGCTGCTCTAACCCACAAACTCTACAGCTTTCTGAGGATGAAGTCTCTCTGTTTTTGCACTGGACTGACTAACCAGTTGAGACTAGAGACAGACCACCTGAGTCTTCTGATCTGTAGCAGCTGATGCTTATTCTAAAATTTTGATCTAGGATGATGCTGTGCGCATTTAAAGTGCAGTTAATACATGTCTGCAGAAACATCCACAGATCCCTGCCATTGTGGTGATGCAGGGTGTTTGAGCTTGGGATACGGAATTGTAAGTCTAGATTCAAGAGAGTGAACCAGGTCAGGTGTACCCATACGTGCTGCCAGGAGTCAGTTGGACATAAGTCAGGTAAGCTGCTCTAAGTGTCCTGTGTGAGTAACAGATCTGGACTAATGTGACCCAGAGTAAGTTGGAATATCCTGCATGGTGACCTGTGGCTGAAGTTTTTCAGGGGTATGTAGGTACTGCAGCTTCTACCTTCACTAGCTGATTTTAAAATGCAAGCACAGATAAAAAGAACTTCAATTATTGGTGCTCACATGCTGTCATTTTTTTTTTGTTGACATCTCCTCTGATTTATGATTTTTTAAAAACCTAGATGGAAAAGAAGAGAAGAATGATTATTTTCTCCTTCCTCACTAGGGAGAGGAAGTGACTCAGAAACTGACCTGCCACACAGAAAGATGCCAGATGTGAAAAAAGATGATATGTTGGCGAGGCGGACCTCACACGGTGAACCTAAATCAGCTGTGCCTTTTAACCAGTACCTCCCAAACAAGAGCAATCAGACTTTCTATGTACCTGCTCCACTTCGGAAAAAGAAAGCTGAACGAGAAGAGTATCGAAAGAGCTGGAGCACTGCAACTTCACCACTTGGAGACAGACCTTTCAGGTAAGACTGGCCTGTTCAACTTCTCCCTTCCTTGGTGATGATGGTTTAACCCTTAGCCAATTTGTTGCCTTTTCACAAGATATGTTAAGTTCCTTGCACTGTAATAAATCTCTTCCTGAGATGGTACTGATAAATTGTAGCAATTAGTGAAGACGGTAGAAAAGCAAAGAGTGAAAAATCCTTGTCTCGATGTCAATATTTTACTGTACAATGTACTGTATAACTTGTGTTTGACAAGATATTGTTTACAGTGAATATCATGATTGTGATCTCAAACTCAAGGCTGGATGAAAATATTGTGGATAACCTGTTTCAGTTCTCAAGACAGTTGCTCAATACCAGATGATACTGATAAGTAATATTTGATGTATCTAATCAAAATAAGTAATGTTCGTGCTGTGGGGTTTTTTTTAATTGATTTGTTTGTTGTATCTTAAACATTGATATGGTTTATGTAACTGTGACTGTATGCTTCTGCCTGCTGTTTTTGTCAACTGATATTTCACTTCTGATTAGGCCGTAGAGCAACTTCTGGTAAAGAGCATTATCATCTTCCTGCCTCATTCATCAGAATATTGCTTGATTTCTTGATAGAAACTGAATTTGCTAATCTATGTACCAGGCACAACATGCATTAAACTACCTTGTATGTATAATTCATTAGCAAACCTGAAACCATAGAAGAAGAACAAAGTGAAACATCAGGACTGTGTGAAAAGGAGAAAATGGGCTCCATGGCTCCTGAGGAAAGCCCTGTTAAAATACAAGCAGATTTGAATCAAAATGAAGCAAATTCCATAGACCAGTCTCCTTCATGTAGTGTAAAAGAAACAACATCACTCAAGGGAAAAGATGAAGCAGAGATCAGAAAATTAAGAAGACTTGAACAAGCTGGCATTAAGGTCATGTCAGCTGCCCAGCGCTATGGCAGGTTAGCCCAACAGTGTGGGAATTTGTGCACGCTTCACATTTTTAGGATTGGCTGTAGTGTGGGCTTCCTCAATCCATTGCAGTTTTACTTCTCCTAACAAAAATCCAGCGTGCTAAGCACTCACAGTGGCTAGCCTTTTAGTGAAGGTATTGGTATGGAAAAGCTTGTGATGTGGCAGTAGTGCATTGAAGAGTTGTTTGATGCTAACTGTGTTTGTGTTGAGTGGTTGAATTATGTTACAGCATAATGTAAACAAACACCAAGGAAACTGCTACACAAACTACTTGTCACTTTCTACTTAATGCTTTCTTGCATTTAATTAAAAAAACAAACGTAAATGTATATTGAAAATGCTTTCCTTGGGCAGAAGTTTCATAGACATACTTGCTGGCAATGCAATGTTTTAATTTACTGACTCACACTTCTAATGTGGTTAATGTTTTTAGCTGTGTTAATAAATGTTGCATTTATTTTTAAAGGCAGGAACTGTAAAAGTACAGTGCTTGTTAATACATGTACTAGTTAAAGCATGGACGCATAGTTCAGCAATCATGATTTGACTGGCTTTGGCATAGAGTATCAGTAGTTATTCACTTATTACCTGCATTATTTATTTTTGGATGTAGTTCAATTTGGTTGTTTCCTGTTCTTTAACTGAATAGCTGAATGATGGCTAGGCTCACTACCCATGCCTTTTCATGATCTGATGTCAAATCCTCATGGGGATGGCCTGCATAAACAGAGTTTTAGCATGTCCAAGGGCTATGCTCTAACAAATGATGAAAATGATTTAGCTAAAGGGTGAGTATCCAAGTGTCCTCCCATCTGAAACATTTTCTTTCGAATTATTGAGGAAAATCTTCATCACATTTCTATTCTGATAGAGGCAATTTCCTGAGATCCAAACTGGTGAAACATGGGGTGAAACCCTGACAGTGAGTAGTTTAGCAGATGCTGGTCTACAATCTGGGCTTTGGAGTGTAGCAGTAGTTGAAAGTACAGCTCATAAGTTATACAGCTTGTTTGTAGATACAATTAAGCTTGTCTGCAGCCTTATGCATGTCATATAGTCATACATCCTTTTCTTTGGTCACTCAGAAGCTGTCAAGAGCCAGTATTTGCATGTGGTTGTGGTCTACCACTTACAAAGACAAATACTAATAAGGAGTAAGTGTAAATTATAAATTAGTCCCTCACTAAATTATAAATTAGTGGCTCAGTTAGTGTGCCAGTTGATGTGGAATCTATAAACCAGTAGACTTCGAAGTCCAAGTCTGTGTTGTTCAAGGTGATCTGTAGCATTAGCTCATGTTTAGCAGTTCTGCACACAGCAAAAAGCACTATTTGCATTTGCATCAGGAGGATGTGCGCCATATTAGTTGAGAACCACTTTTCCAACCCTGCATTTGATCCTCTTTCTTCTTCTCCGAGTAAGAAGTGCATGTATGCAAATGTTTGGGTCTCTTTGGCATAGAATTGATCTCTTTCTTCGGATAGTCCATTGTTCTGTCTCGGTTGAAGGAAGAAAGAGCAGGTATAACAAGCATGTTCTCAGGAAAAGCAAATCCTGGAATTCGGCAGCTTGGAGAAAGAAGGAGGAGCCACTGGTTTTCTACCCAAGCCGAGAGTCAAGAGCAGAGCTTGGCAGCCCAGGCTTCACTGTAGTGAAGTAGAAGCCTGTTCCCGGGGACTGTAGAAAACGTACTGGAGAGGGACAGAGGTTTGGAAAGAACAAGGATATGTTTGTGAAAATGGAAGACTAACAAGTGAGGGAAAGGGAAGAATTGAGTGGTGATACTTGAGGACACAGCAGAGGGCTTGATCACCTTTCTTAACGTCTCATTCTTATTCCCTCTTCTTTGAACTGCTCAATTTCTATCTTTTTGGCATCAAATTCAAATTTCTGTGCACTAAGGGCACCGAATAGTTCTCCGTCTCTCTTAATTCTATACTGTGACCTTTTCCTTTTGCTCTTCCAACATCTTTCTACAATGTCAGCTTCTCTTTTTTTCACTTGAGGTGCTCAGTTGTTTTCCACTTGTTCTGAGTTGTTTACAGGCATTTTCCTCTCAACTTTTTGACTTCTAGATGACACCGGCTGTGACTTTGTGTTCTAGGAGCCATCTAATTGTTCCCTAAGCTGAAACTCAGCGGGGATGTTTCTGGGTTCAGCACAGGAAGAACTTGAACTTGTATGCAAATACATTGTTTGCTCAGAATCTAAGTACTTATCTCCATTTCTGTAGCACTTTGTAGGAAAGGACTCAATCAACAAATGCATGCCAAAAGGCATTCATCCTTCCCAAAGGAGTGTGTCATCTCTTTATAACACAATGTTTTGTTGCCATATGATTCTCCATGCTTGGCTGTGGATCTGTCTCTTATTTACACTATTGTATCTGAAAGATACGGATCAGATTCAGAGACTCCTTAAAAAGAGGAGAACTTATAGATGACGGAGAAGGGGAGGGAAGGAGAGAAACGTGAACAAAATCAAGAGTTTTTGACACATTCTTTGCAAAAGGAATGTGGACTCTAATTTTGATGGTGCATAAGCATGCAAAAGCCTCTCATTATTCCGACATGCAATACAAGTATCCACAAGCCTATATGGGACCCTGTTCCATGGAGCACAAACACCCAGGGTCTGACACTCAGGAAGGTAGCAGATGCTGTATCAGCATGGACCATGTGGTGTTTCTGTGAGGGCTGGAGCTGGGTGCGCAAGCACAACTGGCCAATCTGTAGTGAATTCTGACCCACTGCAGGCTTCGCAACTACACTCTGCTTTCTTTATTGCAAGTTGACCCTTAAAGGTACTTCTGGAACTGTCACACACTGATTCAGGAGACCCAAAAATGTCACAGCTTATCTCTGACTCCGGTAAAAACAAAATGTAAGTGAATGGAAAATATTATTAACCTAGAAACTATTGTGGAAGTCTAGTTACATAGGAAAAGCTGTAAGTTGTTCAGCTACTCATTACAGTGACTCACAGTTGTTGTTTTTTGCAAATTTTAAGTCCCAATTTGTTGGTTGCTAAAAACACTAAAAGTGGCTAAAAATGCTCTGTAGCATTGGTGGACATGAGACTGGAAAAATCCATTTGTTATTTACTAAAGAATCATTTGGTTGCACTTAATCTTAGAAACTAAAAGCATGAAGGAATGCCCTCAACCTACCTACACAAATAATTATTCGTCTTCAGATCTTCACTTAAGAAGTAAATGTAAACATGATTTAATGGAGTACTATGTGATTTTACACATCTTGTGTGTCTGGAGTTCTGAAAATTGTTTCCAAATTGTTAGTTTTAAAAAGGAAGGGTAGTGGAATGACTAGTAAAGTCCAATGGAAGATTTATCAATTTAATCATATTCCCTGGCTTACTTGGCAGAACAAGTCCAAGTGCATATAACTGGTACTTGTTCTCTTTTGTGCCTAAAACTTTCAGAAGAATAGTTCATCTACCTTAGATTAGTGTATTTTCTCTAAAGCTTTCATAGTGGGTGAACCAAATTTCATAGGCAACCGTAACTTGAAAGGCAAACTTTTTTTTTTTTTGTAACTATTATTTAAGCCTCTTTCCCCAGTGGTCAGTTTGTACTTCCGGTATTGCAAGTGTGCAAAACAAAGTGAATTTGAGCACATTACAGCAGTGTATTTGTAACTCATTATTTAGGATTGAGTGACGTGACATACCTGTTCAGCTGTGAAATTTGAACATGAAGATAACCTTGTAGGCCTCTTCATTTTTGTGTTTGCAGAGACAACATCCAAAGTAAACTACTGGCCATGGTTTACAGGGGAAAAAAAGTAGAAGATATTGTTGTGAATGGAAGCCAAGGGATTGGACAGTACTTGAGTATGGAGGGTTGGAAATCTGGAGCGAGAGTTGAGATATTTGCAAAATACCAAATAGCTTTGTGGAATATTCTAATTCTTGAAATTGGAGAAATAGTCGAAATATCAGTGATTACAATTTTGGTTTCAGACAGGAGAGTCACCTAGCTCTTGCCATCTGTCTCTTCAGTTAAGAATATTGACTGCTACAAGTTACAATAAGCTTAGTCTTTCTAGGCACCAGCTGTCAAGGGTATTTGTGGTAATCTGCAGTAGCAACAAGGTAGTGGTGTAATTTCTGAGCAAGGCAGATGGCCCTGTGCTCCAGAATAATGTTATCGCTAGCACACTGAACACCCGATTGTATATCAGCGTGGGAGCTGAGGGCTTATTTAGGGGGGCAGGGGAGGGTGGTTAGGGGAAGAATTATGTGTGGATGTGTATGAGAAGAAAAAGCAGTTAGCAATGTATGGGCATGCAGCTTCAGAGATTACTCAGATCTTAAAAATAAAATAATTAATAAATAAGCTCAGCCTAAGTTCCAAAACCTGGTATTTCAGGATTCAGCAGTGTTGGCTGGGAATCGGGTATTTGCATTGAATCTTTTTTTGCTTTGAGGTGTTTGAGAAGTTTAATAATGCCATTCACAGTACTGCATTCAGTGCATCTTGTATGCTAAACTAGTTCTTACTGTTTCTTCTAGCTATAGCTAAAATAAGTAAAGGTCCAACATGGCTGATTTTCTGTGTGAAGTCCTTGTAGATTTGTAACCTGTAAATGATTCACTTTATTTATAACAAGTCTCTGCCAAGTCTAACAGCAGCTTGAAGCGCATTTGATTAACTGTGCTTGTGTTGTGACCTGGAGATGCCTGTTGCCACTCCCCTCTCCTTCCCTGGTGCACCAGGAGCTTTCTTTAATTTTGATCTGTGTCAGTAAAAAGCAAACAAGTGAAGACAACGGAAGCACCCCAGACATCATCCTTCGCAGGGAAAACCCCTTCATGACACGTTATCAAGGGAAGGATTCTGGTTCAGAAGATGAAGCAGCAAGCAAAGTTCCTGATTTAGAAAAGGATGACTTTGCCACTCGGAGAGCCAGGATGAATCAACCCAAACATGTAGTTCCATTTAACTCCTTTATAATTGGACCCTACACACAGAAAGATAAAAGTAAACTGGAAGACAATAAAAAGCCGTTGAAGGTGGAAAAGCAGGAACGTGCAAGGTGTGCATTCATGTTCTTTCTATTATAATGCTTAATTTCACAATGCATGTCACTGGGTAGGGCTTAGAGCTGTCTTGTCTACAAAAAACTTCAGGGTAAACTGACACAAATGCTTTAATGCTTTATCAAAAAATGATCAGGAAATAGATATAGCTTACCTACTGTAGCTTTCTATCAGAGTATCAATACCAGGAGAGCTTAACCTGAGGCAGCTTATGAGTGTGACTAGTGTAAAATAGAAGATATGCTTTGTGTGCCAGTGCCATCTTTTGCTGAACATTTTAGAATCATGCTTTTGAATGCAAGTTTTTAATCTAATGCTTTTTTTTTTTTTTTTTTTTTTTTCAAATACTCTGCATGAATCATGGGCTCAAATAAGTCTTAAGTTAATGCACTGAATACCTGTACCTGCTACACAGACTGAACTGTCACATATAAACCTGGTATTTCTTTTATGGTAATGCTTTTGTAAATGAAGCACGGCTTAAAGGTTTCAGCCTAGAAAATCTCTTCTTTCTTCAGATCAGTGATACTAACCTTTATTAAGTTGCTGTATATAAGTATCTGCGAGGCACCCATCTTTTTCAGGAAACAAGTATTTTGATTATTTGTGCAAAGAGAAACGATCCTAGATAAAACCACTATATACACATTGCATTGGAACCTTGATTGTCATAACTAATACATTCCAAAAATTCTTCTAATATCTAGTAGTTCTTTTCAGTTATGCAAAATCTGTCTCTTGGTTTCTGGTTTGATTATATTAACATTTTTCAATGGGTGGTTTGGCAGGGCATCTGAAGAACTCACAACCACATTTTAGTATTCTAATGTTATTGACATGACTCTAAGATCAAAGAAATTCTCTAGTATGTTTGCAGGCAAAACTTGAATTCAGTTTGCTAATAATATGCAAATGACATATTTGTAACAAATCAAGAGAAGGCTTATTACAGAAATGCTTAATACAGTAATAACTCCAAGATTTCTGTTGCTTGAACTAGAAACAGGAGTCATGCAGTGAAGTGATCTCAGTGGTACATGAGCAGAGCAGTGTAGATGAAGTCATTGGATGTTGAAACTCTTATGTTTACTTCCTAAGCTAAATGTAAAAATAATCTGCTATAAATTTTTTCTTCTTGTGCTTTGAACCTCTTCTATTGATACTGACTTATCATTGCTCCTTCACAATGTCTTTTCTTGCTGAAATGGAACGTGTTAAATTAGAGGAAGCCAGGTGCACATGGCATCAGCAAGACAAACAGTGACATGCAAAGAGAACCCACCTCTGCAGACTGAGAAGAATAAGTCAGAGGAGGAAGAACAGGTGAAAGTAGTTGATGCTGAGAGAGATGATTTGGCTAAACGGAAATCTCAGTGTGTCTTTCCTCAGCTACAAGAAGATACGATTTTTGTGAATGCCTCTATAACAAAAGCAGATCTGGAGACATGGAAAAGATTGAAACTGTCAGGAGAGCCCAGGTATAGTTTCTCCCTGTGGACGACAGGATTGACACTGTAGGATGAACACTGCATGTTCGTTTTGTCATGGTCTGTTTGTGTGCATTTGTGTTTTTAACCTTGAAGAATGCCTTGATGACAACCAGTCTTCACCTATTAAAATTTTCATGAGGCATCCAAAAATCCTTGTAGGAGTGCTATCTATCATGAAACAGAAACGTGTCCATTATTTAGAAAATTACAGTAGTTCTCCATTGAGCTTTGCTCTTAACGTCATCTCAGCAAAGTTTTCATTTTGTTTTGAGAATCAGTCTGCTCTGAAGCTGCTGTAATCTGAACAGCACAAAGGTTCACATGGCACTGCTAAGTCAGTAGCCTGATGGTGCTGCTAATAGAGCTGTCTGCAGAACATGGGGCATTGTATCTTGGGAGAACTAACTGAGAATCACAGAATCATTAAGGTTGGAAAAGACCTCTAGGATCATCTAGTCCAACCATCTACCCACCATCAATATTATAAACCATTTCCCTAGGTGCCACATCTACCCTTTCTTAGGTAGATGTGACTCCAGGGATGGGGACTTTACCACCTGCCTAGGCTGTCTGTTCTAATGCTTCACCACTTTTTCTGAAAAGGAATGTTTCCTAATATCCAAACGGAACTTCCCCTGATACAACTTGAGGCCATTATCTCTCATCCTGTTGCTGAGGAGAAGAGGTTCACCCCTACATCACAACCTCCTTTCAAGCAGTTGTAGAGAGCCTCCTCTTCTCCAGATCAAACAATGCCAGTTCCCTCAGCTGCTTCTCCAGACCCTTCACCAGCTTTGTGTCCTTTTCTGGTCACTCTCCAGGGCCTCAATGTCTTTACTGTATTGAGAGGCCCCAGACTGATCAGCATCTCTTTGTCTTAATATGTCTGTACTGCGTTTGAGACCTGAGCTAATGTATCTGCATGTCATCTTACTGTAAAGCAAGATGCTGAGTAAATATGCCATTGTTATTTGTCACTGCAACAGTGGCTGCAGGAGCCTTGTCATATGGCATCAACATGCTTATATCACAAGCTAAGGCTCCACAAAGGGAACTGGTAAAAGGTGGTTATTCTAAGCTATTTCCCTGCGGAGATGGACCATAATGTATGCAGGTGATTTGTGACTTCAGGAGGAAAGGGTAGCAACTCTTGGGCTTCCTGTTTAGGCACATGCCATTTTCCAATTAAAGGCAGCCATCTGTTCAGGCATTCTGTTAACAATGTGAGTACTGTATGTAATTCTAGCTCTATTACAAACCACCAAAAATCAACCATTCTCTCATCTCAAAGATATTAGTAATCTCTCCATTACATTTGAGGTCAATTATTAAATTATTATTCAAATCAAGATTCAGTTCCCTCTTCTCAAGATGGGTAAATTGCCCTTCGTGATGCTCTTGTGCCACTGGCACCCCTGCGTGACAGGTGGGGTGCACTGGTGCTGCCGTCCCAGGTCTGTGTGGACTGATAAGGGAGCTAAAGCTTTATCAGGACAAAGTCCCTGTTTCTGAGTGGGCCATGGCTATCTTCCTTCCCCTAAGCAAGGGCTTTCATTAATGTAACCCTGGAGTTTTCCCAACAGGTCCATGGACTTTATCTGTCAGATCACAGTGTGCCACACCTCTTTTTATCTGTGTCCTTGAATTTTTAAAAAAGACCCCTTTAAAAGCTTAGGGGCATTTAATTTGCTTTAGTCTGGGGTCTCATTTGGGATGAATTCTCTTATTCCTCATTCTGACTAGTGAAGAAGATTGCAAATGTCCCAGTGACACTCCACCAGCAGCTGAAGTCACAGTGGAAGCAGCAGTCCAGGATGATTTTGCTGTCCGCAAAGCCAGAGCAAACAGAAAGGCTGGTAGCCTCAAGCAGAAATTTGTGCATTTTGGGCCAGTAACTGAAATTGATCAGCAGAAGTGGGACAAGCTCAGCATCGGCAGAGCTTCACGCAGGTGTGAAGCAGAAGAAGAAAGCGGGAAAGACAGAGTGAAGGTTCACTCGGATGTTGAAAGCTCTCTTCCAACCACTTCTGGCAGTCTCCAGTTTGCTGAGCACAGTGATGCAGTATCTAAGCCACAGAATGAGCCCAGGTATTTGGTGTGGCTTAGGATGCACTGCTGAGCTGGAATCTGGACCTGTTCCCGCAGGAGGCTGGACTGCATGGGGGTGGCTCATGCCTAGGAGCTGCTTGCACGCACAGCCCTGTTCAGAAGGCATCTGATGCTTTCCCAGCATCATAACATGTTTGGAGTTATGGAAAACAATGCTGTGCATATGCCTTCCAAGCATTTACCTCAACAGCTCTGGCTAGTGGTGAAATCGCTGGTGTCTCAGAAGCTGAGCTATCTTTAAAGCTTTCTGCCTCATGATCTTCAGCAGTATTTCTCTGTCTGCTTTCACTGCATTAGGAATTTGTTGCTCAGCTTTCTGGCCTCACTGCTGTTCAGAAAATGCTTTCTTCAGTCCTAATGGATTTACTTTCTTTTTGAAGATGTAGTGCTGTGAAACTAAGGTGTATTTGTGCTCTGTGTTTCTGGCATTTATCTGGAGAGAATGACAGCTCAGGGAAGTTAACATATTAACAGAGCCTAAATTTATTTGGCTTCTCTTTAATTGCTTAGTCTGCAGCTATAGCAAGATTTTTTTTTTAATGAATGCATTTAACAAGCAATTCTTTCCATGAAGTTTGTGTGCTTATAAACCATTTAGCAAGCTGAATTGAAGGACTCCTCCCCTTTTGTTTCATTTGACCTGAGAACATTTTGTCTACCTCATTCTCTTCATGACCCCCTCACTAGTGAAGTAGCGCAGCCAGGTACAGATGAACATTACAGGAGCATGCCATCACCTGTTGCTACTACTGATGTCATCTCTGAGAAACAAGCCCTGTGCAGCTCAAACAAACAGCAAGAAAGCACCAAAGAAGACAGCAGTGCACATTTACCAGACATTGAGAGAGACGATATGTTGGTTAGAAGGATGGGGACCTTTCAGAGACGCACAACTAGCACTGTTCCAATACATTGTCCTCCTCTGTCAGTAGCTCAGGAGAAGGATTTGAAGACTCCATGGGAAGCAGAGAGGTCAGAGAACAGAAGCAGATCACTCTGAGCTTCATGCCTGGTTTGTGTGTGGTGTGAACTTGGATCAGTCAGCAGTGTTATTCCATTCTGCATTCAGCCTTTAAAGATGTGTTTTACTCATTCATCATGGCATGTGTTCTGTTTTATGAAATTACTTACAAGAATGTATCCTATGAACATAAAACAGTCTGCTTTCTTTCATAATATTTAAATACTTCAATTGTTAATTGCTGCTCAGCATGAAAACAGTCTTTCATCTTTTGGGGGTATTTTTTTGCAATCCATGGTGCTTTCCCCAGAGTTTTATGCCAATTTCTAAGAGAATAATTCCTTGCATATATTTTTATGCAGTCTCCAGCTTCTAACATAACACCTACATAAGTGTGGCATTCAGTGTAGTTTCCTCTTGCTCTCACTCCTTGCACTGTAGTTAAAGATGCCTAGTTGTTCATCACCCTGCAGCTGTGTTTTGAGTAGCAGTACCCCACATTGCCTCAACAGCCGCTTTCCTTTGGGCTGTACAAGTGAACATTATCATGGAACAGTGTCACTTGTCTCTCTGAGCAGTACTGTAACGCAAGAAGAGAGCCAAGAACAGCTTGAAATCCCTCCTCAGCAGAGTGATGGAACAGAAAACAAAGTGAAGTTTCCAGATCCGCAAAGAGATGACATGTTGGCCAGAAGAACTGGAGCTTTTCTAAAACAGCCGGGGCCAAGTGTTAAGCAGTTCCTTCCCATGCCATTTTCAAAGCAGCAGAATAAACAGGGCACAGCTAGAGAACTTGAAAAGAAAACTGTGAGGTAAGAAATTCTGTTCTCTCTTTCCCTTGCAGTGAGTCCTGTGGACTGTTTGTCAAGATCTCTTGATCTGGAAGAGTTGCAGTCATTTCTTCCATACTCATCCTTGAATCTATGCTAACTCATTCTGCTCTAGTCAGCAATGTAGGTTTTCTGGCCTTTTTGGTAGAGCCTTGTAAAGTCTTAGACCAAAGAGGTAGCGGATGCAAAATTCTAACAGCATGTGAAAATAGGTATTTATATAGCAAGATTGTGTGACATTTCTAGAGGTTTCTATTTAAATAGGTGCTAATCATTAAAAATATTTCCAGCTAGAAACAGAGGTGGTGGATACAGTAGATGAATGTTTGTCTATAGCTTAGATAGTGTCAATGACTCCTAAACAAGATAAGAAAGTTCTGGAATTAGATTCCTCCTGGTAAGGTTTGGTGTCTTTGTTTAGATGAGCAGCACAGTGTGGGGAAGATGGAGGTTTAAGCCTTTGGACAGAGCCATGTGTTGGCTGTTTGAGCTGTGTGCAAGCAAGACTGGAAAGTTATCGCTCATCAGCCTCTTCAAAGTGCATGAGAGAGGAAGGATACACAGACACCTGTGCATACATAAATGGAAAATAATGTGCAGCTTAGCCAGGAGTGGCTTGGTGTTGAGAAGACCTCCAGTTGAATAGCTTAGTTAAAATACGTTCTCAAAATATGAATCTTTGGGAATTTTATGTTACTGGCATAGAAGAATGGAAATACAAGCATTTTACTCTAATTGTTTTGTGTACCTAAAGCTGTGAGTTTGTAGAATTTTCTTATTAACTTGCAGTCACACTTTTCATTATGTATATGTGATTTTTCAAATGTTGTTTAATACATTTCTTTGCACTGCTGCCTTTGGCTCACTCAGGCCTGAACAATGTCCACAAGTCTGCATTACTAGCTCTGGAAAACCTGTAATTCTACCTCAGCAAGAGCAGCAGCAAGGGCAGGAAAGATGCAGTCTCCCTTCTGCAGGACAAGAAGATACTGTGTGCACTGCCCAAGTGGGTGATCATATCCTTAATGAAGTCCACCTTGATCAAACATCTAAGCTTCAGGTGGTTCCTGAGGAAAACAGAACTGAAACATTGTCATCCAAGGATGAGCATCTGCAAACGTGAGCTCTGAATGGTGTGAATCACGCAGCTTGTACACTCTTTGCTCTTCTACTGTGTGTGCACTTCAGAATTCAGATTCTGCATTGCCTGGTGTGTTTTCAGTCCAGACTAAAATCCTGTATGTCTGTACGCACTTCGAAAAAACAAAGAGTATTTGTGTAATGTTTTCTTTTCTACAACTAATGAAAACAAATATTTGATTGCAATATTTGTGCGCATACAAGAATCGCTTATGAGTAGCAGAAGTTCAGCCAGACTCTGCTGGGCATCTCTAGAGATGCATGTTTTGCTTTTTTGTGATCAGAAAATATTGCAGTGTTGACTTTTGTATTTGATGTTGTTTTATGATAAATGCCAGATACGGACATGTCATTTGCATGACAGGCACTCTAAACAAGACAGGCACTCCAGTGAATGACACTGACTTGTGTATTACCAGTACCTTTTTTCAGCTGCACCAAAACAAACAAAAAAAGGAAATGGTATGGTAATGTTGATTTGAGCACTGCTGTGGAATATAACCATTAAGTTTTGTCTCCATTCATCACATACGTGGCACTTTAATGTAAATGTCAATATATTGTCTACTTTCAAAAACTATTTTCTACACCCACTTTAGGTATACTGTAGCACATTTTTATAATGGGGATATTAGGCAGGGATTAATGATGTTTTTGGGCAGTCTGACCTTTGAATGATTAATAAGGTAAGTGCTGTGTATTGAATAGACCATCTCTGAACAGTATGGTACATTTTCTTTTGGTTTGCTTTACCAGGACAGGTTGGATGTTCAAGGGACTGTTAACCAGATTTTATGGGTCCAGTTGCAATTAATATATAATGTGTTTATCAACGCTCTAATTTTATATTTGGTCTTGTAGATTCGGCCCCAGAACTGCTGTGTCTGATGACGCAGAGTAAGTTGTCTTGTGTTCACAAGATTCTGTTTTAAACAACTTACACTGCATGCTTTCCAGTCTTCCTACTAATTTAAAATGCAGTTGATGCCTCATAATTATTTTGCAGTGTTTCAGCAAATAAATTTTTCAGAAATGTACTGAAAAATGGAATGCAACGTGGCTTACATTGCAGCTAAAAATAATTTATACATAGAAACTCATAAAAACTGAGCATAACACCAATGTGCAGCTATTGCTTAAAGCATTATTTCTTCTTTTTTTTTTCTTTTTTTTTCCTTTTTTTTTTTTTTTTTTTTCTTCTCCTGAGTTTTCATTGCCTCTAATCCACTGTAGGTTAGGAGATTTGGGTTGAACCTGAACTGGGTATTGGAGGGAAAAAAAACCCCAAGTGTGACCTATAACGAAGCCCAAAGCAAGATAAAATTCATTGTGATCTTCAGAATAATTGTCAGGAATACAAATTTTCAGCTATTCCATTATTGTATATTAAAGCTTTCTTTTGAATTCCTTCTAGGTTGGGTTTACTTTAATAATACACTAAACTTTACTTCTTTAAGCTTCTCACCTCTGTGCTTTACATTTAACCAAAGGAGTAGGTTGGGGGCATTTATAGCAATTAGAACTTTCGTCTGTGGATGAATATGAACAGAATAATGTATAGTGTTACTTAAAAAGCCGTGTTGGAAAATTACAAAGTACAGGAGTTCAGAAGCAAAGAAATAATTAAGGACTACCCACGTAATGTGTCTTTAATATCCTTATTTTGTTCACAGAAATGCATGCACCTTTCCTGTCTCCCAAATGAAATCAGAAAATAAAATGGCATAGAGGCTTTTTTTTTAGTTTACAAGATCTGTAGTGTACAAGTGTATCTCTTTTATGCTGTTCAAAGCCTGTGTCCACTGCCCACAGAGCCACAGAGTAAATATAATTATTTTCAAGAAGCAGAAATCCTATCGATCAAAATGAGAGATTAGATAGCATAACAACACAGAATTGTGCTTTACAGTGGTGACTCTCCTGCCATTTCGTAGAGCATTACCTATCTCATTGATTTGCTTATTTGTTTCCCCACAGTTTTGCATGTCTGTATTAAATGGAAACATGAGAGAAAGTATACATGGAGGCATCAGAGTGTGTTTGGTTGTATTATTTGAGAGTAGCGAAGATATGAATAAATCATTGTTTATTTCACATGCATTTTGTTTAAGAAGGCAAAACAATACATGTTCAAGCCTTATTGTCATCCTTTCCAGATGTGCCACAGTTTACAGAGCAACTGTTTTCCTAAACTGCCCGTAAAGTTCTTACAAATGTAAGATTGCATTTTTCCTTCTGAAGTACTTGCAAAAAATCTAATATAATGGGGCTCACAAGTAGGAAAAATAAATTGAACTGACATTTTAAATGCTTCCAAAATGTTTGTCAAGTCTCCTTTGAAAACTGTGACTTGTATTCAGCCCTAAACTTGGAGCTATTCCGGCAGCAGAACTGCCATGTTAGACTAACCAAGTTCCCGTTGCTGGTTGGTCACCACCAAATTGTGTCAGCAGCCCCAGGGCTGTCTCCAGCTCTCAAAAAGGCAGTCCTCAGCATAAATTGGAGTAAAGGAGACAGCCCTGTCTAGATGTTGTGATTGCTTGGAGTCTACAGCCTTTATTAAAGGCAGAGGACAAGTGTGTGAACACCGCGGGAGGGCAGCAAAGGTGGCTTGTGGTTCCCTCTTTTCTTTCTCTGCTCCCAGACTCTTCTGTGGCCTTCTGTCAGGTTTCCAGTTCCTGTTGCTTTTCAGTGCTTTTCCTGTTGTGTTCTGCCCAGTCTATGAGTTAGAGCCATTTTGTGTCTGGCAGGGGCTGTGCCAATATTCTGGGGCATCTTCGTTTCTCTCCAGATTAGACTGTGAGAAATGGAGAGAGAAAACTCTCTCTGTGATATAGCTGAGCATGCTGTTCTGTGGCAAATTGTTGGCAGTACAGTCTCCACTAAAAAGGGAGAGGCACAGAAGAAGGTTAATTTCATGTGGTTGAAATTCATGGATCATGGATATCTCTTCTCCTTGGAGTTGCCTTCCACATACCTAGCATGTTCTTGCTGATCGGTCCCTCTCCCATCTCTCAAAGAGATCCTTTGAATTTTGCTGGCAGTGTGACAGCCCAGTGTTCATTTAGGCTTAGACTTTATACTTTAAGACCAACGTATGAATTATAGTGGACTGAGAATTTTGAGTATTTATTTACTGGAGTCTGATCCTTTAGCCATCCTGTCTCTTTTTTATGTTTTGTTAGGGTTTTTTAAATCTTACTGTGTTCATAAATAGTAATGCAGCCACATAATAAATGCTCTGCGTAAGTATTTTAACATATTCTTATAAAAATTTTTGCCATATTTCTCATTTTTTAAATTAAATAGTCTGACCACTCAAGTCCTTGAGGACGTTTTTATTCAATACTTACTTGGACTTGGTTTTTTGTTTTGTTTTGTTTTGTTTTGTTTTAAAAAAAGCTCTATAGCACCGCTGACAAGAATAACTGTAATTTGAAAGAACAAAGTAGTGTAACTTAAAAACAATCACAGTATTCCAAAGAATCAACCCTTCAAATTATAGTGTTGGTTTGCACAATGTTTTTTTCCCAGATCTTTGTCAGAACAGCATATCTGATACTGGTCGGAAGAAAGGCCTGTTTCATCCAGACAGTGTAGATGCTATCCCAGGAGCTTTGCAGAAGATTTGTGATTATGAGCTCTGTGTTGTTAAATCTCCCCATTTACATGTATGCTCTGTGCCTGTTGATCTGGCATGTGATTGAAGGAAGAAGTAATTCTATCTATTCATGCAGGTGTTGACAGACTGGAGACATTTATATCTTATATAAGCAATTTGTAAATTATATAAAAAAGGGAGAGGAAGAAATGATGTTGGACTCATAGTGAAAGTGTCTTCTGATGGAAGCTATGAGTTCTGGCCTCTGGTTTTCTTCTGTAGATGAATTTGCATGGCAGAGAAATCTGTGTAGGCCATCTGGTTGGCCTTTTCCCCATGTTCAGGAAATGAGGTGGATCTTGTCAATGGCTGTTAAGTGTTGGTCATTGCAGGAAAGAATGGTTTGAGATGACTCCTTCAAATTGCTCCCCTGGGGAGGCAGATTTGCACAGTAAGTGTTACTGGAGCTGCTGTTTGGTTGAACCTATCTGGTTGCTAATCCATGGCAGTGAAAACCCAGCAGCATGAGGGAATAGCTAAAACAGAAGGTGCATATGGGGCTGTAGTGTATGGCTTGATTCCTGGGGTAGGTTAAAGCCTTTTCCAGGGTGCCTTTTGTATTGCACTGTCAATAGCTGTAAAGTCTTTGTTCTGTTATTTTTGCTTACTCCAAGTGAAGGTGGGGAAAAAGAGAAGCAAAAAATCAGCTTCTCATTGGAATGTCAGTATACCTGGCAGAGAGTATTTTTATTTTTATTCTTATTCTCCCACCCCAGATGACAGAGGGCTCACACCCTCTGCAGGAGCAGTTATCAGCACTTCAGGTCTTCTGTTTTCTCCTACTCTATGCGAATGAAATAATCTTTGATATGGGGGAGTGGTACAAGAAGGGATCTATACAGTCAGTCAGATCTGGCAGGCACAAAGTGGCAAATATTAAGACTAAAGGTTTTTTCTTAGTATGAGTTTCAAATGCACTTAAACTGGAATAAATCCACTAATGGGTTGTGTTAATGTATCTCCCAACTTACCTTACTAGTCTGCAAAACAGAACTGAAATTTAAATGTTCTTTAGTAGACTTTCAGTTTTAAAAACAACAAAATTTGCAGTTTCTTTGGGTTCTATTTCTTCAGAGTACTCCAATCCAGCCCTGAGCAATGCAACTCTTAAATTACCCACAGAGAAACCCAAAGAAGTGTACCCCTCTCAGCATTCTTTTTAAGGGATGAAGCATGGTAGTGTGCTAACCTTACCTTTTGTGCTTGAAGGCTATAGGGTGTGTATTCTGTCTTGTGTTTCTGAATATATGCCCACTAACAGGATGGGATCTGTGCATGTCCTTTTCTGTCCACTGTCCAGACCTTTCCATTTCCCCTGAAGAGTGAGTTGTTCACATCTTTGCTTGCCTGAATATAAATGCCAGCTAAATACATGTATATACAGCTTTCAGTGTCTATTCACTTCAATTACTGTGTCCACACTTGCCTACAACTCTTCTTCATTTGGTGCTTCTCCTGCTAGTTTGCTCACCTACAGCTGCAGATAATCATTTGGAAGCTGCTGTGAAGTCACCTCCTGTGGAACTGCATGGCTTTTTCTCCCCCCTTTTTGCTTTTAATGGCCCAGCTGAGGTCATGTCTCACTAATAATAGGTAGTGGGGGGAACTAGTAAGTACATTATCTTCATGTGAAGATCTTTAAATAATATGAATGATGGTATAGTATCAAACCATGACCTTTTTTTCCTTTAACTCTCCAAAGGTCAGAGACAAAAATAGCATGTGTATAAAGAAACTGTTTTGTACCGAACACAATTGTTTGTTGTACAGTCAGCTTTCCCTTTGTTAGGTCAACCATATGAACAAGTTGCTGCTGATAGCATTGAGTTTCTTTGAGGCAGGGAGGGGAGAGGAGGCAACATGCTGTGCGCGCTGCATGTGCTTCTCTGGGCGGGTTCTCCTGGTTCCTGTAGCAGTAGCATTTAGCCAGCCACACTACCCATGATGTACTTCTCAAGCCTCTCTTGTTTTACAGTAGAATGGAAGCTTCTGTCTGCAATATAGTTGCAGTGGGTCAGTGAGAACCCAATAGGAAACATCTTCAAAAACTTAAATATTCTGAACCCACCTCTGAATAGGATAATTTTAACAAAAGCCACTGTCAGAGTTTTATGGTTAGAAATGCTTCACAGTGAGAGACAAAGTTGCTGTTGGCTAACAAAAACAAGAGAAAATTGAGGAGTACAGTGCCTGAAGTACTGCGTGGAAGTTGTATGGGTGCTAATTGATCTTTCTCAGGGATTGCTGCACTGGGAGCTCCGTAACAGTGCAGGTGTCTGATCCTGCTGCAGCACCCTCATGTGGCTTTTGCTCTTACAAAGCTGAAGAAGTATAAGATTATAAATAACACTGTGCTTCTTATTATTCCCTCTTTGTTTAGGAGCGTGAGCATGTTTGACATGAGAAGTGAGGAAGAAGCCATGGCTCAGCCTCACAGCAAAGCTCGCCATGAAAAGCTGCAGAATATACACAACCAGCTGAAGGAGGATGAGACCAGGTGGCAAGATGTGAGTGTACCACAGTGTCTACAATGCTGGCATTAGGGCCAGCCAGCTGCGCAAAAAAGCAAGGCTTGCTAAATCTGTGATTGCTCTCTCAATCAGAACTCTTTTTCTTCATTTTTTTCAGTGCTTTCTTGAGAAAAGCATGGAAGTTCCTATTTTGTTGTACTTCACAGGACACACAGATGAACCAGCTCTTTTACTTTTTAAGAAAATGTAATTAAAATCTAAAATCTGATTGCATAAAAATGAAAGCAGAACACTCCCATTTGGTAACTTCTCAAATTTTTCTAAGTAGAAAATTCCTGAAGTGTCAAAGTGATAAATATATAGGTTGGACTTGGCTTCAATAGATTTGGTTACAGAAAGATTTTCCATCTTATTCAAGCAAACACATTCCCCTTTAAGTTAGATACACCTTGCTTGCATTGCAAGCCCTTTCCAAACTGTCTTTATTCTAAGCATTTTTAAGTTGTCGTGGCAATTTTGCATTATCTTCAGTAAACTGAAAGCATTAGAAAAACATTGTTCACAATTTGCAGGCAAATTAATATCAGAGCTTCAGCATCAATCCTGTTAGTTCCTAAAGACTGATTTTAAATGAGGAATATTGGAGTTGTTTTTCTTCTTTTAAATCTCTTCAAACAGCTAGTACAGTAATTTCCAGTTGTGAGGACAGCTGCTATGAAACAGGTTTTTATAGAAAATTCAAGGCAAAGCTCCAAAAAAGAACAGTATATACAACTAATAAAAAACTTTTAGTAGAACAATGAAGGATTTCAGCTGAGTGGTCTGTATGTGTGGGAAGCCATAATTTCCCAGCAGAGATAAGAATGAGCCCAGAGGAATTCAAGAGGTTTGAGAACTCTTTGCTATTGAATGGAAAATCCTCTGAGCTAAAGTGCACAACTTTTCCAGGCCCTTAGCACCTTACACACCAAACTAAAAGTTCTGAAGAGCTACTAAATATTCCAGCAGTGGAATCTCCTTGGCATTCCGAGGGTTTTGTAGAGATGACACTACATTCATGGTCTCATATTCTTCACGTGCTCATGCTGTAAATTTGCCAACAGTTAACAGTTTCATAGCTTTTTCTATTTCCGTTGTTTTTCTAATGAATAAGAGCTGAAACATATAAACCTGTCTTCTATTTAATTGCAGAGAGAGAAAGGCTTATGTTATGACATTTGCTAATGAAAAACTAATTTCCAAACAATAAGTAATAGTGGGAGTAGCTGAATAAAGAAGTGCTTTTGTACTTCAGTGAGAATTATTAGTAACTGAGGAAGAGGAAAGGACCATGTTTCATGAAGGGGTTTATGAACTGATATATGTAGGTCACGTGAAGAAATACTTTAATGAGCACTCCCTTGAGTGTAATGCCAATAATTTGTGGCTTTAAGCTAAATTAAAAGTGACAAGGTTTGTTCCTGGTTTTAATAAAATAAGTTATTCTTGCAGTACCTTCTGCTGTTTACCAATAGAAATGCAATTAAAATATTTGGAAAACCATGTAATTAATGAAATAACCTTTGAATTGAGTCTGTGTACAGAATCTCTGTTTTTTATTAAAACCAGAATTTGTTAGAGTGCATGAAATATAATCTGTATACTAATCTCCTGATGTTGTAAAGTTAATTGCAAATGTGCCCCCATGGTTTCCTGTGAGGTTATTTTTCTTTGCAAAACTGCTGTGAAGGTGAATTTTTACTGTAAAATTCTGTTCCTTTTCTAGTTGATTATTGAGAAATTTTACAGCTTAGAAACACTTCTTTGCTTGTTTTATTATGAAACAAATTCTTCTTCTGTATGTATTGCTTGTGCATTCATAACCCAAGCAGGATGCAGGACGTAGGTGTGTCCCACATGAGGTGCCTCCTCTGTATTTTTTAGTTTTAGAGTCAGGCTGATTTTGCAGGAAGGATAAGGAACTAGAGCCACTGGGTCTTTTTGGCATTTTTGGACAGGTGGCTTCCAAGTAGAATATGATTAGTACTTCAACAAGAATGTATTGTGTATTCAACAATAATTCTGTATTGCTGCGTGCAAATGATAGTCTTGTTTCTCTGTCATATCACAAGTCTACCAGGTGTGAGCCACTTTAGTCCATAGTGTTGCTGAGATCTGGGCCCAAAATAACTGGGGGACGCTTGTAAGGAAGATACAAGTAACATTTTCATTTTATAGTATGATCACCGTTTCTCTTTAAAGCAAACACCAGAGCCTGGTCCACAGGCAGATGCAAGCATTACAAAGCTTGGCTGGCTGGATTCATTGATTCTTTAAGGCTGGTTTTCAGCTATTTGCAATTCTGCATTCAGCTGCGTTCTTTCTCTCGCAGGACTTGGCTAGGTGGAAGAGTCGTCGAAGGAGTGCTTCCCAGGATTTAATTAAAAAAGAAGCTGAGAGAAAGAAAATGGAAAGATTATTGTCTGGAGAGGGAACAAATGAGCGCAGAAAAAGCATCAAAACCTACCGAGAAATTGTGGAAGAGAAGTATGTTTTCTTACTGAAGTGCAGAGGCATGTCTGAAAATGCTGTATGCTTCATAGGGGATAGGTGGTTGTGAACAGCCGTGCCTGCAGGGCTGGAGTAAGGGAAGGAAAAGGATAATGATGGAGCAGAGGAAGTAGGAATGATTTTTAGTGTGAATTTTAATGTGATGATCTCTCTTGTGTCATCTCCTGTGCAGAGAGAGAAGAGAACGGGAGCTTCATGAGGCGTACAAGAACGCAAAGACCCAGGAGGAGGCTGAGAGCATTCTCCAGCAGTACATCGAGAGATTCACCATTAGTGAAGCTGTCCTTGAGCGTTTGCAGATGCCAAAAATCCTGGAAAGAAGCCATTCAGTGGAGCCAGATTCCCCACTGAAAGACCCAAATCCTCTGAGATACTTAAGGCAACAATCGCTGCCTGCTCCAAAATTCACTGCCACCATTGAAGCAACCATTGTTCCCACCACTGATCTAGAGCCCAGTGCTTCGACAGGCCGCACGTCTCCCAGCAAAAGTGTTGTCTCCAAGGCTGTGCCTATGCTGACACCCAAGCCTTACTCTCAACCCAAAAATACACAGGAAGTTTTAAAGAACTTTAAGGTAGGATACATCACACTCCTGTAAGTAAGTTAGGTAGCAAAGAGATCCTGATTAAATAATCACAACCTGTAAATGATTAATGTAATTTAAGTAAAAAAAAAATTAGAATTATACTGACGTTAAAAAATTCAGCTGCATGCCTTGTCCTTTTCAATTTAATGGTCTTTTCTTGGTTACCAACCTTCTTAGCAACTTGACTGTTCAGACAAGAATATTTGCAGTGGTCATTTTTTATCAGGCTAAATTTCTTCAGAGGACAGAACGAAGAAGGGGCATTTTGTGTGGAACAGGTTAGAAAGGAGTATGGTATCATGCTTTTTTAGTTTTTAAACAAGGAAGGGAGATGCAGAGAATGAGAGTAGAATGCTGAAACAGTGGAGAAAATGAAGACCTGGGATGTGTTAGAACAGGCTGGGATAAGCTAAGTTTGAAGAAATCTGCTTCTAACAGTGCCTGTACAAAAACTGAGGCTTCCCCAAGTCTCATGGCAGCCTCTGCAACTGGCATTGTGAAACTTACTGGCAAGAGTGTCCCAAACCTACATATGTCTGGTCCCTTGTCTCTGCCATGGCGATCTGCTACTTTGATTGTAGTCCCTGCAACCCTTCTGATGTCCTAGTAGCATTGCTACTGTGTGTATTCAGGTTGCTTACCCTTACAAAAAGTTAGCTTCATACAGATGGTGAAGAAGCGCGTTGTGATGTTCGTAAGTGCTTGAAATCAGTCCCAGCTCTTGTGAAATCACCTCCCACACAATGTTTTTTTCAATGAAATGTGAAACTGACAATTCCTATTTTTCTTCAACCTCGTTTGGTCTTCTCCTACAGTATACATTTTAGGACCCAGTCAAATTTTTTTGTGTGTAGTTTTGTTTTTTTTTCTGTGATCTCTCGTGGGATTTGGACATTACATTAGTCTATATATAGTTCACATATACAGGGAGAAACTAACACGTGAATGCTCCTTCACCCTAGCCCCCACTAAAAATCTGTCTAGATCTTGTTTGCTTGATGTCAAAGAATGTGACTTGGTTAGAATGACTCCCTAGACTATGTAGCTATTGCATTATTTTGCACCCAAACACCAGTCTTCAGTGATTCTTGGCTCCAGTGACAATGTATTGACTTGCTCCAGATCAGAAGGAGAGAAGTGTGTTTGTTTAACTTTGAGGCGAGGGCATCTGTCCTGATCATTCAAACATTTGGTTTTCCTCTCTAATATAAATAGAGAAATGTCTTAGTCTAAACAGAGACATTAAAATGGATGGTGTGCCCTGCCAGTGTTTTTCTGGCTTTTATATTTCTGAGGTTTTTCATGACCTGTCTCTCTAGTAGATAATCCAGCACACAGTCCCAGAAGACTTGGGGATCAGTGTCTGCCCACACTTGCATTTGGAAATAAACCCTTAAACTTGTGCAGAGGGGAGTGATGGCAGTGAGGAAAGGAAGGGAACTTTTCACTTGAAAAGCAGTCAGTAATGGTAAAGTGCTTGCGGAGCTGTTTCTCCCCAGTATGGGGACCAGTGGTGTGAGGTGCTGATTACCTTCACCTCCCTGAACTCCTGAGGATGCCCCGAGCCTTGGGAATGGCCTCTGAGTTAATCATCCTGAGAGGAAGAATGAATCTCTGGATACATGCATACAAGAAGTCAGCAGGAGTAGTTTGTCCTTAGCACAGCACTGATTGCATATACTGAGTTTACTCCAGTAAAGTACCAAAATTAAATGAATAGGGAGCTAAGGAGTGGGACGGAGAGGATGAGCTGGGAAGAACTTTTCTTAAACTGCGTTTCAGTTTGATAAGGTGATTTTGACACTTCTTGCATCAGTTTTCCATAACAGTGAAATAAACAGAAAGTTTCCAAAGAAAGATGTGCCTTAGAGCTTGTTTTTACTTGCTTTTAATTTGTGTGGCACCTGTGTAGAAATTTGAAAGAACTCTTCACTATATGTGTCCCGTATAGCTTCTTAAAGAAATCACTGGTCTGTGCTGTTACTCCCCCAAAGTCCAGTCAGTAGCAGGGAACAATTTGTCTACATTTACTCTACCACCTTCATGTCTCTTTTGGTGATCCTCTTGCATGGAAGGATCTCTGTGCACAGAGTTGCAAAATACTTCTCCAAATCTACCTAAAACTGAGCCCTGCAGACAAGCCTGTAAGTATCTCTTGCTGCAGGTAAGCAGGAGCAATGGGGTGTTCTCATAGATGGTGCTCTTCTGATTTCTCTGTGGATTCCAGCTGGGATCTCTTACTGTGAGTAACTCTATATGGCTGCATTTCTACAGACAGCTTGCCAAATGGAAGGAACTGTTGAAGCATTACCAAAGCATCATTTAAAATGTAATTCTCTCCTAAGAGGAAGCTGAATCAGTGCAAAGGAAGAAACTAATGCTTATTTTGTATTTTCTTCCTTGTTTAAGAGTCAGAATGTAGGGCTGTCAAGGTGTTTCTTAGCTAAGCTTAAGAAAAAAGTAGTTAAATTGATTCTACTCTCTCCTTTCCACAGTGACTGCGTAAAGTCATTTCTTGGGGAAAGAGGGTATTTATTTTATGGTCTCACAGAGAAGGTGGAATGCCCACTTTTATTTGTTAGTTTCTTGCCTCCCTGTTATAAACAGTAGATAAACAAGTAGACGAACACTGCTGCTCCTGATCCTTCCAAATTCGTGTGGCTGAAGTACGATCTAGTAATGCTGTGGTGAGGCTGTCAGGTTACAGAGTAGGTCAGCCTGGAATGCATACTTGTCTCTTGCATGACACAATGTGAAACCCTGGAGTTTTCGTCTAAATATAACCTAAAGCATTGTTCTTCTTTTAAATCCAGGGTTTGTGCATTAAGGTTACTTTTTTGTTACTGAGAGAACAAAATGTGGGTAACTGGAAATCCAGGAAAATCCATAATTTCTGCTCTGTATTTTCTTTAGGAACACCATCTAGACTGGAGTTTTCTGCTATCTTGTCCTGTTGAAGTGTGTGCTTGGCTCTGTCCTGTAATTATGGTGTAGACTGTGTTAATGATGATGATGTTGTATTGAATTGCTGATTCCCTAAGCTTGAGTGCTGATTTCCTCAATGTATTTATTTAACTGTATTCTACAGGTAGATGGAAAAGTCAGCATGAATGGAGAGAATTTCAACGGCGTTGAAGAGAAGGATAAAGAGTGTACAACAGTAATATTTACTCAATCGCCAAGCAGATCTCTGAAATTTGACGGAGTAGCCAGCGGGGACAGGCCCCCCATGGAGTTGAAGAAGGACCCCACAAGTGTTGAGCTCAGTTTACAGAGGCCTGCCACTCAGAGTGTGCACAGAGAGCCAACAGTAAGAGCAACACGAACAAACCAGCCTTACTTTCTTTGCCAATTTTCTGTCTCATGATGTATTTAATCACTAACTAATGAATTCCAAATGGTTATGTTTGTTTTATTTCGAGAGGGTGTGCCCAGACCAGGAAAAAAAAAATCCTTTGTAAATTAAAGGTTTCTTCCTTTGGGATGTGGGTACAGAAATGGGAAGGGAAGGTTCAAAAACTTTTTGCAGCCAGCGTTTCTTTTTTTTTTGGATGGCACGCAACTGATAAGCATACTTCAAATATGCTGGGCCAGGGAGAAATTGACTCTGTGTCCCAGCCATTGTGCACATTTATTCAACTCTTCTCCTGATGTTAGCTGATTAGATCAGCAACATAATTGGACTGTGTGAGCCATTATAATTAGTCTCAGTTTTCAGTTTTCAAATGAGGATTTGAATGCGCAGGCAGTTTTGAGCATTCATCCTCCTCTCAGAAATATTCAAAAAGGGGAGAAGCTATTGAAATACTCGAAGGACCAATGTGCTTCTTAACTGCTTCATCAGAGAAGCAAATTAATTTTACCTTTTCATTTTTCTCTCCCCTTCCCCAGAGAGGAATGCAGAAAAAAAAAAAAACAAAAAAACTGGAGCATATCACAACAGGAATCTAGAGGCCACAAAGCTGTAATAAAAGTAGATGGTTAAAAACAAAACAAAACAAAAATAAGGACTGGACTATTAATAATGCATGTTAAAGGATTGCAAACAAGTGTCAGGAATGGGAATTTTAACATTCCTTTTTTGTATAACTACAAAGAGAATCAGAGATGTGGTGAGAGTTGGAGTATGATAATTTTTGCTTTTATCTAGGTTTCTTTCAAATATCGTCCAGGTGGATAATAGGGAGTGGGCGGGAAGTGATGGTTCATTCATGTCAAATGTTGTACATCTTACCTTACTTCCCTGCTTCATGACAGTCTTTGGCCACAGGCCGCCCAGCACACATGGACACTGGAATGTGTCTTGAGCACAGACTTGATCCTGTCAGGGGGAGCTGCTGTAGAGCCAAGAGTTAACGGTTTGCAGGAAAGCAGATGGGTGGCAGAGCTGAGACTAGTTTCAGAATAAATTGGGTCTAACAGAGAAGCCAGGTAGGCATTGCATCTGATCTGGGAGAGCTAGTAATGCGAATGGTTGGAGGATGGAGAGAGTCCTCAGCTTGCTCTAGATTAAAAGCATGATGGTAATCAGAATAGTAGCTGAATAAAATATTACTATTTCTTTTTTTGACTATTTCCAGACCAGCATAGTTGTGGCAGATAAACTCATGATAAAGTCGTCTAGAGAGAATGAGCATGCACACAAATAGTGCAACTTCTCTGTTCTTAAAAGAGATTTCATATCATTAGCTTCATGATCTGGTCAGTAACATGACTGACTAGTGCAAATTGTAATAATTACTCCAAGTGCATCAGCCTCAAAGAAAGATGTGTGTGTCAAGCACAGTAAGGGCAAAGCAAGGTGAAGAGGCTGCTTTGAGGGAATTTACAGTGGGGAAAAACAAATGGAATGTCCTGGGTATTGTGAGGGAAGAGAGAGGGGGACCTGCCTATGGCTGGAAGGGAATTTGCTAGTCTGAGGTGAGATTTACAGTTTTGTTTCGTCTGGCAACTTATTTCTCTTTGCCCAGATCCTTAGTTTTAATTTTCCAGGCAGTAATTTAGTAATTTACACAGAAGTGGTGTAGTTAATGGCTACGAAGGGCTTAGGTACCAAGTTACAGAGTTGCGGTACGGTGCTTACACTTGGCTTCATCACCATGTGTTGGTATGCAGGCCAGTGCTGCCAGGCAGCTCGATACAGATAGGATCAATCTGGGGCCTTACCTGCTGAAATTGAGCTGCTACTGTGGGGTCACTTCATTCAGCCACCTTCCTGTTTTCCCTTGATTTCTGAACAACTTTGTACAGTGATGTCAGCCTGTATCTGCAGAGTTCAGAGCATTAAATGCATTTCTGAAGATACAGCTCCTCTTAAGAAGGCTGAGAATCCACCTGTGGAAAGAAAAGAGCCATTTGGGCTTGTCCCACTCCTTGAAAAACACCTTGGAAGTAGGAAAACCTATGAAGCTGCCACTGCGTCTCTGCCAGCTGGGGAAACCAGGGCAAGGCTGAAGTTAAGACTCTTCTAGCTAATGGTAATGTTGCTACTGTCACATGAAACAGCAGCTCAGTTGGCCACTCTGTCCTTCTGTGAGAAGGTAATAGTGCGGCATTTTTCAAAAGAATAGTTTTTCTCTGTAGCAGGCTGATCAAGCATATGCTTAGTTTGACCCACTTACAGAATTTCTGTCTGATGCTAAACCCTACTGTATTTTGAGGAGAGGAGAAGACGTGAGCAGGGATAAGAAACAGCCAAGATGAAAAAGCAGAGCTAGCTAAAATGAAAGAAGCAACTAATGTATTTTCCATTGAGAAGAAAATTTACAAATAGATGCAGTATTTTCAGTGCATGTTTTCAAAGGCTTTTCTAAGCTCACTTTCACTGTGTTTATTTCTACGCTTTTCTTGATTGTTATAGAGAATTGTTAGTTACATCCTTCCCAAGCCTGGAGTAAGAATCAGGCTGTTCCTCTGTCTGCTAGGAGATGCTGTTTCTAGGGTAGGGTGTTTCTTTTTCCCTCCAGTTGCTCTGGATTTGTTTTCTTTTTGTATTTTATTTGTTCAGTTTCCTCCTCTTCTCTCTGTTGTGAGAACATATATTCCTTTTCATATACATGTTACCTTTGTCCCTCCTGTCCTCCTCATCTCATTCTCTTCCTGTTCCTTGCATGCCCCTTCCTCCTCCATCCCTCTGCTGGCTGCTCCCCTGCTGTTTCAGTTCAGTTGTCAGAGTGGCTGTTCCTGTCTTCTCTCTGCCTGGCAGCCTTCCCTTTGAAGCTCCATAGCCCCACTCTAAATCTGTTCAGCTGGCCTCAGGCACTGTCTGCAATATGGGTAGATGCTGTGCAGCTGTACTTCAATAGCTCTCTTGGCCTGAATTTTGGAAAAAAAAGTTCAGTTGAGTTGTACCTCTTGAAACGCCAGTATGATTTAGGAGTTTGGGGAGTAGACATAGGAGTCTTTTTGTAAGGGTAATACCTCAGTGGAGGTTGTGCTTCTGACAAAGAAGCACCCTCACGTGTATGTGAACCCTGTAATGACTGGTGTTCAGAGACTGAGTAGGAAATAGAGGCAACTCCTGTCTGAATTCATTATGGATTGGGATGCAAAAGGTGCAGCAGGTAGGATGAGTGGTAAAGAAGAATATTTTCAAGAAACTGCTTGTGTCTGTATTATATGTTTAGGGTTCTTAGATTCTTTTGGATTTTACAGCAGACTTGCCCTGATTCAAACTAGCTTGTCATATTTTGTCTCTGATTGAAGGGTGACTTTGCATGGAAGGGTAAATTTGGCCTATCAGCAGAATGAAAACATCCCACTAGTATTTGCAGAGCAATGTGCAGCTAAGAGAGGTGGTAGAAAAAGCACAGCTCCCTTTTACAGTTGCAAAAACTGGGGCAAGGGCCCCAAAATTGAAATGCTCAGAATTCTCTGGTCAGGCATTGATAGTGCCAGCAACAGTGTGAAAATCATCTCCAGAGCCTGGTCCTATCTGTCAGCCATTAGGTTCTGTTTTCTTTCTGATATACATAACAGTTACACACATTACAAATACTGAGAAATTGTATTCTCTTACTCTTTGAATTAGAAGTTGGCAAAATAAATGTTTTGTTTTAAAACAATATTCATGCAGATTTTAGTATAGAGGGAATAATTTGTCAGAGTTACATCACTTTACTTTAACCAAACTTTGAATAACAATTTAGAAATGACTGGCTTGCTATAGTTCTAATTATAGCTTTGCTCTGATCAACCACAAAGAAAATAAATGTAGACAGCAACTTTAAAACAATCAGGGTCGGGTGGGGGGAGACTGAGGCTTTCTTTTAATTTTTAGTTAGCCGGTTTAAACATGTCCATTTCTACTCACTGCTTACTTGGCACAAGAAGAAACTTTTTTCTATATCCCAGTAACACTCTCCTTCATCTTCAAAAATCCACTGGTTGAACTGAGATTAAAGTATAAGCTTTCTTGTGGTTGGGGATTGTTGGCCAAACTACAAGAGAACAGGACTGAAATCTTGATTTGTACAGATCTGGTAAGACAAGTCTTTGTTCTTTGATTCATTACAAGAAACACTTGCAGAGTAAGTAGATATGTTCCAGATTGACAGCTTTTCCTTGAGCCATGTACAGGAGGATGCAAGGAGGGCTGGGTTACCTGAATAGTTAGGGTGAGATATAGGAGCAATGAAACTTTGAAGTAGGTAGAACAGAACTCTGCTTGAGATGTGGTTATGAATTTAATATCCATATCTCCCATCCTCCAGGCCCCCATCCAATTTTCAGTGTCTGTCAGTGATGGGAGATTATTTTACGTCCCAACTGAGCGATAATAACTAGAACAAATAACTCTAGTAGGAATACTTAACACTGTTTCTTTCAACACTTTGAAGTCTTCTCTGTCTATTACTGATCCACCCTGTCTTTGGCTGTAGGAGCTGATCTGATTATAGCGTTATATAGCTGCCAGTAAAAGAGGCCGATGATTTAGCATGTCAGAGCGGTGTTCTGGCGGTAGTACTGCATGGACATGGCACACACAGCACTTGGCTGTGGCAGCCCGCGGTCATGTTAGTGTTACCATTCAGAAGACAAAATGATGGCTCTGATTAGAAAACCATGGTATGGCATTTTAAAAGCTTACAGTAGAACATGGAAAATAATGCTATGTATACAATTTCCATTGAAGAAGTTTAAAAGATGTATTGGGTAATTTGTACATGTGGCTATTGATACTACAACCATTACATCTCTGAATGGTTTTACAGAACTCAAACCTCAGTTCTAACCTGATTCTTCCATATTTCTCTGTGTTCTTGCTGGTTCTAGACAGCTTGCTTTGTCACGTTTTCATACAAAATACAGTATTAACATTTTATGTGATCTTGTGTACAAGTAGTGTTAACTGGCCTACATTTTGGTTTAATTTACAATAAGGTTTAATAAAGTTCTACTGTAACTTCATTTGGAGTTTGAATTCTTGTAGAAGTTGTGAAGTTCAGTGTTTTGGGAGTTCCTAGTTAGAATATTTTTAGGGTTTAATGATGATCTGATGCAGCAATAAGCATTGTGGCTGTTTTTGGCTTGTACGGTCATAATTAAAGAAATGCCTGTTCGTGGGATAGAAGTCCTTTCTGCCATGAGCTGAACTGATTTATTGTCACACCAAGCAGGCGTTTGGTAACACGGCGTAGGAGCTTCCCTCTGAGGTACGTGTAGCAGAGTAAGTGATGCCTCTTCCCACACAAATACCTGTGGTGCATACAGTCTGTGTAGGTCCTTTGTCCTCAAGTGTGAGATCTGTGAGATTTCAGTGGCCATGTCAAAACACAGACTTTGCAGCTGCTATTAAAATGTTTAATGTTTTTTCCATATTCAGTGGTAATATCATACTTTGACTACAAAATACTTATGAAATGCAAGTGATAATCTGTGGTAAAACGTTTTTAGAAGTATCATATACCTGTGGATAAAAGAAAATATTACATCACTTGGAATTTTAAATAGAATTAGATATACTGGGAATGAGCATTCCCCAGTGATGTTCATTTAATTTTTTTTTGTAAATTACTTACTAATCAGTTTTATATTTTTAGCTTTATGTTGCTAACATAATTTCTCAGTGGAGGGAAGAAGAGACAAGTCTCATGAGCAGGAGCAGGGGTTCTGCAGCAGCGTGTCATTTTCAAATTCATTTTTCCTGCAGCAAGTAGTAGTTCTTTTCTTTTTTTTTCTTTTTTTAAACTTCTATTTTCCATAAATAACATCTGTACCTATACCCTACTCAACCTTCGTACTGGATATTAAGATTGTAGGTAGATTTATTTGTACTTTCACTTACGCAGGACAGCAGCAGCACATAGCACCATGTGTAGGTTCTCAAGAGAACCCTAGAACTGGAGAAGGTTGCATCAGCTCAATGCATTTGCTCAACCTCTTAAATTTGCAGTTTGAGCAGCTGCTTTTTGAGAGGGGAGCGTGAGTTCTGTTGCTTTAACAAAAATAATAATAATCTGAAGATTAATGGTTGAAACATGCAACAGTTGGAAGATTTATGCTTTAGGGCAGTGGATAAAGAGGATTGATGGGTAGGTGCCTTTTGAATTTCCAGTTAAAATGTGCTTTGTTGAGGGCAAACACTGAGTTTTCAATGTCAGCTGTTTAGTTTTAAGAGGTTGTAGCACCACAGAATAACTCAGATTGCAGGTCTCTAATGGAGTCCTCTGCTTAAAGCAGAGAGAGGTGTGGGAGCAGACCGAGTTACTATTCACTGAAGCTTTGAAAGCCTCCAAGGATGGAAATGGTAATTTGTAACGCTGCCTGGTCGTTCTAGAGGAGAAATTAATACTTATATCTGTTTTGGGCAAGGTTGGAGGGAAAAGGTGAGCTGGGGAAGGCCCAGATGTGTTATGCGGAAGAAGAGAGCAATAGAATGGCACAGGGCAAACCTGCTGTGTTTGCCTGGATTTGCCACCTCTGCCTTGCCTGGAGCATAAGCCTTAGGTGTACAGGAAGGCAGCAGGCAGTGCTTGGAGCAGCCCTCCCCAGCGAGCACAGGTGGGGATGTGCTGCCACTTGGAATGCTCAAAGTTGCCGTTGGCATCTGTCCTGCTGCAAGGTGAGGGCTCAGCCCCTGGCTGCTCCTGCTGTTCCCAGCTGCTGACTGCCTGTGGGCTTGCTCTGCTCACTTCCCTATCCACAGCCCTGCACTGAGACCTTGCTCACAGAGTGGTTTCCCAGACCATTCCCCGCCTCTTGTACACTTCCCCAAGAGGAGAAAGAGGAGAAAGGCAACAGGAATTTGCTCCTGCTGCTGACAGCAAAGCTCTCCAAAGCCAGTGTGTATCCATGGGCACTGGCATACTGACCAGATGTTCATGGTGACACAGCTAGGACAGCCCATGGGGTGTGAGGGTGTGAGTGTGAGTGGCTGAGGGCTGTAGACTCACAGTTGTCTCTGGGGATGCAGAACAGATCCATGCAGAAAGTAGAGGTGTGAATCTTGCCCCCAGAAAGGAGCAAATTTCATCATTCCACTCTTGCAGCTGTTGATAAATGAGAGACAGGGACAGGAAAGGACATCTACAATAGGCCAGCTCTGATATGGTTGCTTTTCATTTTGAAAAGTAATCTGCTTTTTTTCCTTTCTCTTTGAATGCGCCATTTTCTCTCTGTGTTAGATCAGCTGCTGATCGATTTGCTGCAGTGTTTCTTCATTTGCCTACTGGGAAATGGGATGTGAAGTGGAAGCTGCTAAATCAATCAGCTGGAATGTTGCTGGTGTGTTGCTGATGTGGTTAGCTATGCAGCAGGCTGTGCTGGGGCAGGAAGCTGCCTTTTCACAGCAATTTGGATTATGGGCTTGATATGGTCTCACCGTATTTTTCAGCACTCTTTCAATAACTTTTCAAGTATTTCATTACCTTCAATACCAACTCTGGCTTTTCCCTTCAGATAACAGATTGTTTAGACAGCCATGAAATAAGGGAAGTATTTAATTCCATTGACACTTTTCAAGCCCTCCTATGTGCTGTTTTTTCACTGATGCATGCATTTTGGTGTTATTCTGGAAGAGAAAACTGGGGGTGAAATGTATGCTTATCTCCAGCTAACACAATTCGAGATATCCTACAATTCTAAAAGCTGTTATGAGCTGTTCTAAAGCAACTGCATAATGGCTGCTGCTGAACTTTCAAAAGAGGAGATTAAGGCCCAGTGACTTGGTGCCAGAGCAGCAGAGCTGCTTACGAGCTCATTCTGCGTGCTGCTTCCCAATGAGCTCTAAACAGCCCGTCAGGTTACAGAGCAGCAGCAAGCACCTGACCTTCTGTCATACATCTTTCCATTTCCACTGTACTGACTGTCTCACTCCTCCACAGACCTTGCTGGGGGAAGCGGATCCGGCCACCAGCCAGCAGGCAGAAGGCAGCCCTGGAGCAGTGGGACACAGGAGCCCAGCAGAGCTGTCCCCAGGTGGGTGGATGGCTGCTGCCCCAGGCTGATTGCCCATCCAGGGAAGTGCCTCCCTCATGTGGGGAGATTAATTTGCTCGTAAAGTGCAAAGCTGCTCATGAGGGTGTTTCTGAAGCATTACTCAAAGTCTCAAAATACGAGTTTTATCATACTGAAATCATGAACTTTTTTTTTGTCCATTTTTTTTTAAATGGATCTATCAAAGTTCAGCTTGATGTGGGTAAGCTAAAGGTACTGTTTGAAATAGGTGTTTAAAGGAAATCTCTTCCTGTAATTGGCACGTAAATACACTGATCTGATTTCTGAGGATAAATGTGGCCTAATGAGAACTTTGCTCTCAAGCATCAATGGGTACCATCACCCCAAGATCAGAAGCACATCCAGCCTTTTCTTGACAGCTGTGAGGCACACTGGCTGTTAGCAATGTCAGCTGACTTAAATACTTGGTCTCGTAAATGGAAACAGACCAGCCTTTCAGGTAGGAAAATCATTGCATAGCAGCACAGAGCTTAACAATCTGGAATTCCACCTGGTAAGTCACACAGAAGCCGCAGTCTAGCATTGAACCAGCCAATTTTCTTCTCCACAGTCAGTGGTGAGAAGCTGGGGATGTTTGTCTACAAATCACAAAGCCGCATTTTGTCGGGCTCCACACCTGTGAGAAACACTAAATGTTAAGCACTGATAGCAAAGGAAACTGACTAAGAAAACTGAGAGAATATAAAAGCTAAAATAGTAAAAGGGTGGATTTTCATGGTGTCTGCTTTGCAGGGGTAGATGCCGTCCAAGCTGTGTGATCTTGTAGAGTAGGCAATGTGCGTAACTGGATAGCATGTTAGAGAAGGCTTCATCACACAGCTTTGGAATGTGCAGCACAGAGATCTGTACCTCAGCAGGCATGTTGTAGGCTGCAGCTCATTTCAGAGAATGAGTAGTACCTGATATAATAGAGTGGTCCTTCCCCCCATGAAGTGCCTCTGTGCTTTTGTTGACCATGACAGATGTCCCACGGTGGTGACCAAGTGAAGTGTCAGCATCTACTTTCTGTCAGGTGTATTTCATCCTTAAAGTTTTGTTTTCCCTGAGAGATTCGCTTTACTTGTGTTGCAGAAAGGAGATTTAAAGTGTATGTATATACATAACCAGTTTATGGGCTCAAAATATGCTCAGTAAGAAACTGGACTGTAAGAAAGAAGTCAGTATTTTATTTGAAAAAATATCGTACCCTAATGACATTCTTTTGTATATGTGGAGTAGGTTCAGAACAAAAGCAATTCAAGTCAACTGTAGTTTGTGCCAGCCCTGTTGTGAAGAGCTTAGAATTTTCTCCTAGTCCTGTCCCTCCTGAGGAAACTGCTCCATGTGAGAAAGATGTGAAGAAACCCGAAGTGGAGAAGCAGAAGAAGGCAGCGCTCCCTGCTGTGCAGGAGGTATGTACAGCAAGAAAGGGAGTGGAAAATGAAACAAAGGTGGACCTCACAAAGAAATGTGTATTGTGCAAATAGCTGGTTGATATTTCCTCTCTGTGTATCGTTACATCAGGAGTTCCTTCAAAACATGTCAAGAAACGATGCTGAAGGTTGATCTCTGTGCCAAATCCAGTGATCATCAAGAGTCCCTCCTTCTGGAGGAACCTAGAAACTGGATGCTTAGCCTGCAAAGCCCAGTCCCTCCACTGTTGGGAGAGCAAGGCATTAAGGAAGGCGTAAGCAGTGCGGCTTGCCTGCATAGTCTTCTTAAAGTGTTGAATAAGCACAGCATTAAAGAATGGCTGTGACCATACTGATAACACTAGTTGTTGGTCCTGGGTTAGAATGAGCTTTGGTGTGCAGGATAGTGTGAATACTGAACTAATGGTTATTTTCCAGAACTTAATTCTGCAAGTCTACGTTGTAATTCTGGAGACAGAAACTTACTGATCTTTAATAATGTTGTTTCAGAAAATAAAAGGAAAGGGTTTTAAGTTAACCTTTGATTGTATCTGCTGATTTTTTAATGCAGTTTTCTGTTCCAAAATGTCTGAACAGGTAATGAAACCGAATGCCCTAGAACAAGAAGGGAGTGTAGTATTGCCATTTTTGAAGAAATTGCCAGAGACCAGCCAGGTCACTCTGCATAATTCTGATCTGCAAGGTGAGCAAAAAGAAAGGTTGGAAGCTGCAAAGAACTCAGCTGAACATAACTAGATGTGTGTGTTGTGTTCAGGGGGAAATGCCTAATTATTGAACTGGAGATTTCAAGAGATAAAATATTTTATTTCTACATGCATCTGACTGATAGAAGTCTGTCTTCTGTGATGCAAAGGACTCTTCTTGCTGTTCCCTTTAAATGCAACAGCAGGATTGTGACATGGAGGAGGGGGAACAGGATAGGCACTAACTTGCACTTGTCAAGCTTAGCAATTGTTAGGATGCAGTGTTATGGCCATGACTATTATATTTTGCTAGTACTGCTGCTCACAGATGAAAATGGCTTAGTGATTGGTTTTATCTCACAACAAAAATTCCCGGAGATTAATTCTGCACTCAGCTGTAGCTTGTGTTTATAGATAAACAATGCTTGTATCTGGCCACATCTTTGACCTGTGCAGATCACAAGTTCCTGCAAAGCAGGACTTTTTCTTTTGCCTTCCTGACAAAGTTTTGCTTGAGATTGGTAATGTTTAGTTGTTTTATTTCATCTTGATTTTAGAGATGCATATATGTGGGGATCGTGAAAGAGGAAGGGAGTAATTATCTGAAGCTGTCTTGTTTGTGTATGTGTAAGTAATGTAATGATTATCAGAGTGTTTTCAGGATAGGAATAACTGAAGGTAATACTGTTTAGTTTCAAGCACAAATCAGTTCAAATACTGGATAGCAGAGTGTAGATCTCCCTGGCATGTTCTGAGTGATGCTGAAACACTTGGCTGCTCTCTAGTGTTCACAGCACGTATATTACAAATAAGGTTCCACAATCCTTTAAAATGTGCATCTCCAATAGAAACGAATGTAAGAGTGAATTAGCACTATTGCTAGAACTCATACTGGGGCTTGGAACTAGATGATCTTTAAGGTCCCTTCCAACCCAAGCTGTTCTCTGTTCTCTGTAAGATATAGGGTTAGGGACTATATTGCAAAAGTAGCATTCAAATCTGTGTTCTCCATGAGATCTACAAGTCCTTCAAGAGCTAGCAGTGTTGGGCCGCTTTTTACAAAGCTATTGCAGTAAGAACCCTGCTGATGGGTCTGATGGCCCATCCTCACCTGTTGACCACAGTTTCTTGTTCTGACCCTGTGCCGTTCCTGCAGAGCCGCCCCGCGGGGTCACAGTTCCGCTCAGGGTGCGGAATGACTGGCGGCGCTCCCGGTTTTTCTCACAGCCAGGTAATCATGATTTGAAGGGCAGAGCAGCTTAACCCCTCCACTGCCTCCAGTGCGAGGCATCCTGAGCTGTGGGGTGGGTGAGAGCCAGCAGCCACGGGGACTCATCCTTCCTCTCGCCTTTGTAGAAAACATCTATTCCTGTTGCACAGTTGACAAAGAGCTGTTGGGTTACGTATTGCTGTGGTGCTCTGGCTTCAGCACCCGAATGGAATCACTTACCTGTAAATACTTCTTCCTCAATTTCTTCTAATCAACCTAATCCAAAGATGTCTCAGTAGAAAATGGCAATGGTCCTCTTCGTAACTGTGGCTCTTGAATAGTATAGTTCTATCCTTGTCGCTTTGCTGTGCTTTTTCCTTTCTTGCACAGAGCCTGAAAGGGAAAAGTAGATCAAAGCAGGTAGCACTCAGTTTCCAGATCCCGCTAACGCTGTGGCCAGAAGTAGATGGCAGTAGCTAGTTTTAGAGTAGCATCTGATGTTAGTTACAATCATGCTCTTCTGTATCCCAATCAGAAGTAGTTTTGTTGGTGTTGGGCATGATCTATTTTTCTGGTTTCTTTGCTTGCAGTTCCTCTCTGCATTTGGTTGCAGGAGCAAGTAGGAAACTAACATGAAGCTTTTTTGTACAGATACAACGTAGCATTAATTGCAGACTGAGCTCTTTGGGTTCTTTTGCTGTGTTTTAACTTTTCCTTTCCCTTTTTTTCTTTTTTTTAATAGCTGATCCTGGCAGTAGTGACAAATCAAATGTGAGTACCTTTCTTTTGCATTGTTGTTTTGGTTTAGAGATATGTATTTAACAAAAATGAAGTTTTTATCCAAACTGTCTTGTAACATCCCCAGTTAAGAATGAGAGAAGAAAAACAGAACCCAAATCAAGACATCATCTGAATCCATAACTTAAGTCTTCTTTTCTGGATAAAAATGTAAAGCAATTCCTTAAGCTGTTGTGCTGGTAGACATGAAATAAGAGAATATATTTTACCTTCACAAATTGCTTTACATGTTGAAAAGAAGATTGCAGAGAAAAAAAATAGAAGTTTTTCTTAAATTTGGGTACCTGCAGGCATCTCTGTTCAGCGCTGCTTAGAGCTTTCTTTCAGTTCTTTTTCTTTCTCCCCCCCAGCTGTAGCTTCCCAAGCCTTTCTTTGCAAACCAAATGGTTATTGTCTCACTTAGATACCCGCAGGCAATCCCAAGTGTCAGTGAAGCTCAGAATATTGTCTGCTCACCAAGAGAACCATTATCTAGTTCAGAATTTGCCATTCTAGCATTACTGTCAGAGCAGACTAGGTGAAGTGGTAGCCTTGTGAAGTGTTGAAGTCTAACAGCTTGCTTTTCCTTCACCCCAGCGTTTCAATTTCTGGTCCTGGGACCCAGAAGAAGAGCGGAAGCGGCAGGAGAGGTGGCAGCACGAGCAAGAACGCCTACTTCAGGTAAGGAACACGATCCTTTTCTTCCACTCCATGGCTCAGCTGTTTCCAGCTGCATTGTCCCTTTGCGCTAAAGTTGAGTGTTTCATGTCATGTCTTCCATGCTTGAAGCATTGGTAAGATTGGCTGAACTTTTCAGTATCAAAACGTAGATCACACCTTAATGAATCTGGCAGTATCACGGCCAGCTGTATTTATCACCACTCCTTGTGGATAGTTAAGTGAGCTCTTTGGCAGGTAAATGAGCCGTGCACTCTCTGTGGTTTGGGCATTCTTACTTCTCCCTTTCCCACCCTCAGGGAATCTGGAAGGTCTTAGTTCTGGGTTCCATTACAGAGTTCAGCCAAGTGTTAATTTGCCACTATATTTAAATTACCTTCAGTGTAAACTGTTAATTACTTTGAGCCTCTTTCATGAGACTGATATTTTACTAACCTTGACTCTTAACATAATTCTTCTTTAAAATGGTAATTTAATTAGCTTCTTGTAGACTTTTGCTTCATTTACATGTTCTTCTTGGAGAACATCAAACAAAATTTGTACACAGAGGTAGTGGGTTTTTGTGTTCTTTGGTTTGGTTTGGCTTTGTTTTGCGAGGGGAAGAAACCCATTCTCAACAATCACTGTTTTTGCCTGGGGTGAAACTATACTGTAAAAAAAAATTTGCTTTTGTCTTAGCTGGGAGAAGTGCAATGTACCTGAGAACTTGAGTTTCCCTGTCTTTAAAATCTCTTTCAAGATCTCCTTGTGCTAAATCTTCACTTAAAGTTGTGTGAAAACTATTCTCGAGAAATGATCCCATCAAGGAGGAAAAAGAATTGCATAGCAATTACGAGTATACCTTCTTCAAACCTTTAAACACTATCTATTTATCTTCTAAACTTGTGCATGCCTTCATCGTTCACTAAATTGTACTGGCATCTCTCTTATATTAGTGCCAATACCAGCATCTGTAAAACCTGTTTGTTTCTATGCTACTTTGCTGAAATTGTTAATGCCAAAATGCATGCTTGAGTGCCTTGGGATGTGTGGTAGCTTTTTGCAACTCTTAAAACTTTATAACAAACAAGGAATTATTGACATTGTCTAGAATAAATTTCATTTCTTGCAAAGTGTATAAAAATATCTAGCAAATTAAATATTTTGTGGTTGCTTGTATTAACTGTAGGAGCTAGAAATTAGTAGGAAGAAGAAAGGAAAATTTTGAGACGCATGGATGTATCACATTGGTATTTCATCATGTTTCTTATAAAGCCATTCTTGACAGGCTTATTTTCACTATGGAGGTGCTACAGAATTTACTTCTAATACAAAATGCTTTGTACTCACCTCTATTTGTCTCCACTTACAGGAGAAGTATCAGAAGGAGCAAGACAAACTGAAGGAGGAATGGGAAAAGGCACAGAGAGAAGTTGAAGAGGAGGAGCGTAGATACTACGAGGAGGTATAAAGCTGGAAGGAGGAGGTTATTTATTGACTTTTTTCTATTTAAATGCACTCAGTTATGAACAAAAATAAAAATAAAAATCCCATACTAAGTTAATAAGCAAAAAGTCTTCTCAAGTTTGAATTCTCAGGAGAATTATTTCACTTAAATACTACCATAGGCACTGGGGAAAACTATCTGAATATTTAGGTAAGTATCCTCAGAATCTCTGCACAGGTGGAGGTGCCTGATTGCTGTGCAAGTCTGGTGAGTCATAATGGTTGTTTTTGGGCGTGCTCAGGCTCCCCTCCAGAGAGAGCCTTTTGTGCTTTGGCATATACCTGGTGCCTTGGTGGAATTCCAGGTGAAATTGTCTGCCTTGGGCATCATCATGTAGATGCGTTGCTAAACAGCCTTGTTTCTCAAAAACAAACAAACAAAAAAAAAAAAAAAAAAAAGCAGAAACTGTTTAAATCTTGCAGCTGTGGAGTAATAACAATATAGACAAAAATATTTTTATTCTGTTGTATGTAAGTCATTATTGCAGGAAATTTGAAAATATCAATGTTGTCTGTCTAATTGTGCATTACGCAAATTAATGTCTTATCATCTGTGCTTGAGAATCATGCTTGTGGTCTCAACAGGAGGTAATTTTTTTCAAGTTCTGGAATACATTTCTTATGTACCAAGTGTAATTTCATTTTTTTTATATGTAATTTCATTGACTGACGTTGTGAGAAACAGTGGTGTCATCCCAACTGGAATATTCTGGCTAGTTTTGGACATCCCTTTTCAAAGGAGTAAGATGAAAGGAAAAAGAGTACAAAACATTGAAGTAAATTAAAAATTGAGTTATTACCATTATTCTTGTTAACACAAGCCCTTACCTAGCCATTTAAATACAAAAATGTATTCAAAACTTAATGCTTCTATTTTTTAGTATATAGGTGACGTTCTGCTTATTTGGTGTTGGGTTTTTTGTTTGTTTGTTGATTTTTTTTTTTTAAATCTTGTTCTCTCCTGGTTCTCTTTTTTTCTTAGGAACGTAAGATAATCGAGGATACTGTAGTTCCATTCATTGTTTCTTCAAATTCTGCAGAACTCCTATCCTCTTCTTCCTCTACCACTGAAGGAAATAAAACAGCGGTGAGTTTCTTGTGGATTCATAAGGCAATAAAAGTCAAAGCCATCTTGAGTGCAGAGTTTCAATCTTTGCTAAAGGCTAACAGTGTGGGAACAATGAGAGTAAGAGTATTTCCTGGATCCCTTCCATAGCTGGTGATACCTCAGATTAGTGTAGCTTGTGTATTTTTACCAGCAAAGAACTAAAATCCCAAGCCAACTGCCATAGTCCCATTTTTTACTAGAATAGAAGGTGAAACTTTCTTTTGCAGCTGCTTCTCTTCTTTGACTGGTGCTGTGAAAAAAGTCACCTGTTACAGTTTGTTTTACCTACCTTCTCAAAGCCAACAAAATCTGAAGTTGTTTCCCTGCTTCCAAAATCATAACTGTAGGACAGTGCTTTAAGCTCTAAGTTGAGATTGAATCCGGCTTTTTCACTTTTCCTCCTTTTCTCACTGATCATCCTTTCTAGAAAGCAGCAAAACAAACGGGGGATGTTCACTCTCTGATTCTCTTATGCATTCTGCCATACAGAATGTTTAACTTGGTGTATCTTGCATATAATTGTTTGCCACAGAACAGAGAATGACACCTCAGAGGATATCAGTAGAATAAATGCAGGATTCCCAGACCAGTAAGGTCTGTTTAGCTTCTCAAATTCATTCAAGCTTTTCTGCCAGATGGGAATTTTACTTGGTTATCTTGAATGCTGTCTCATAGTTGGTCAATATATAACTTTTTGTTTCACATTGCACTTAATATGATTATTTTATTATTTTAGCTTATTTGTTATTTACAATGCTACACAATATACCTCAGTGCAGCCTGTGCGGTTTTTGTATGTGTGCTAATGCTGAGTTCAAGGGAGGCTCCTGGTTCCATCTCCTGCTGTTTTCCAGAACACAAGTGATTCAAATGGCTCTCCAGAGGAAGGCAAACCAAAAGAAGTTACAAGGCAGAAAAAGCTGCTTTGGGAACAGGACAGTATGCCATCTCTGAAAAACAAGGAAAATGAACGCTGGCAAGAAAAGAGGAGGTATGGACCCCATGGAGCTTTCTGTTCTGTAGAATTCTGGAACATCACATTTGCCCATGATTGATGCTGGAGCATCTGACCTCTTTGGCTTGGTGTTAGGTGTAATACAGCCTGATCAGGCTTACACATGTATGGCATACACAGTGCTAGTATCAGAAACCTCACCATTTCAGCATTCAGCTTTGTTGAGAGGTTGTCACATCATCCAGATCAGAATTAGATCTTACAGCTTAGATAGAACAGACATCTGAGTATGGCATTGCACTATACTTTGCATGTGAATTTCACTAGGCGTTTGGATGAATGGAGAAGCAGTAGCTATTTTCACTCAGAATCTTTCTGAGATTACCTGGTTACCTTGGAAATGCCATATTCAGTCTTGCTAGGTGGTGTTCAAAGGCCTGGTCTTCATCAAACTGGTAAATGCAGCTTTCACAAGAGAGGCATCTGATGGTGCTGAATAGTGTATAATTAACACTGAGAAAAGCTGTTTCTGTGTCAAATAAACCATTTCCCACAAATCCAAAGTGATTTCTAGTGCATGTAAGTGTCAATGTATGAGGGAGGAAGGACGCATGATATGTTTAGAGTCAAACCTGACTGTTACCCATTGGTTTGTCAGACAAAAATTGTGCACGTAGTAGACTTAAATTCAAAAGTCTGATTTTACCATTATACCATTGCTGGATTTTTTTTTTGTGGCTTCATCTATACATCTATATACTTTTCTTAGCAGTGGAAATAAGGTGCTCTCAGGACTCCCAGAGATGGGTATCTTGAAAGGAGGTGACCAGGAGCACCAGGTGCCAGTGATGGAGCGCTGCTCGCCTGCCCAGTTGAATCTGCCACTGGCTCAGGGTGAGAGACATGTGCATGTATTCTTTTCCAAATAGGAATCTTGTGGGTATTTACAGTGGTTAGCAAACTAACTCAGGAAAGTTCGGAAATTGCAGTACGCTTATTTCCTCAAAATGAATATCTTGGATTCAAGAATTGTTTTCTGTTAGTAAAGATAAGCGTGTTGAGGTGAAATTTAAAACCTTATTTACATCAGCAATTAATGCTTTGGCTGTAGGTAGAAATCTCATTTTCAATAATTTCACTTGGAGTTATTTTCCATCTGTTATGTAATCATCCATACACACAGAATTTATCTTAATACATCTCTTTTGAGCATCCAGGGATATTGCTGGTTTGGGAGTGAAGGAATTTCTCCAAGGTATTATTGTCAACAGGGTCACCCTCAAAAAAGGGAAAAATTTTCTCTGTGAAGAGAAAATGAGTAGGACAAAGTATAGGAAGCAAATGTAGATTTTGAAAGCAAGTTTTTAGGTCTTTGTTTTCAGTCTGGCATAAAAATTGATGATGCTAAGAAATGAACTGTCTATGGATAGGAAAGGTTTCTGTATTATTACTTGTTCCAAATGCAAATTCAGTTTATTAAATTTAACAGGTTTACTCACCTTGTTGCAACTTTGTTGTGTTCTTAGTGCTCTGGTAAATGTTGCTTAAGTAAAGAAAACAGAAGATGCTGCCCAGCATGTTGGTTTTGTAGTTGTGATTAAGCAAAACCCAAAGATTTGACAGCTTAACATCTGCTAATAAGGCTTTTTCTAGGTTCTCTTCCACAACTTGTTCCACCATTAGTATTCTGACAGCTCCCTTCTTTTCCCTTGACACATCACATCTTGTTCTCTCCTTAAGACATTGAATAATCAGGATTAGGACTTTTTTGACATTGATATCAAAAGTAGGTAACGGGCCTTTCACCGGCCCAAGTACAGCTTTTTTTCTCCTCTAACCAGTTGGTTGGTGCTTTGAAAGGTAAGGCCCTTCCTGACCAGTGAGCCACAAAATTGGTCAGGAAGGATCTGCATGGCATGCTCATCTCACAGGCGGGATGCTCTGCTGCCTGTGCACTACAGTTCACTGCGTATTGCTGTTGTCCTTATGCACCCATCTGAAACACAAGTAACTTAAGTGAAGTAATAGAAACAGCAGTGCTTTCAAAGAGGTGTGGGTCATCTGAGGAGAGGTTTGGGAATGTGAAAATACTCCTCTGTGTAACTGAAAGCTCCTGGTGCTTTCTTACAAGAGTCAGGATGGTTGTCTTCACCTCATTCTGACTTTACCTCTCACACGCTTTATGGTGCGCCCACAAGTTGTACTGGTTAATCAGCACTGACAAAAAGCACTTTGTGTTCAGCTTTGAGATGTCCCCACCTCCCATTTCAGATGTCCCATGGAACCAGCAGCTGCTGACGAAGCAGTCCCTGCACCGCGCAGAAGACGCCCGGCAGAGACCACTTCAGGGGCAGAGTGCAGGGCAGCAGCCAACCTCCACAGGGGAAGGGAGGAGGTGAGGATACAAAATAAAGGTTATCGTAGAGTGTGAGGAGTCGTTCTGGCTCCTCTGTATTCTTGCTCAGCATTCTCTGTAGGTTAAGTTGGCTCAATAAAATCTGCCTCATTGAAGTCAGTATCTGAGAGCTTCTTCCCCAGCTTCTAAACATGCAAAGATTGTTTCATTCCAGTTCTTTAAGGATTATGACATTTAAAAGGAGACATGTAGAGAGTAGTATTTTCTTTCTGCTGCAAACTTTGGTTGATGAGGTTTTTTCCTTCTCTGGTGTTTTTTCTTTGTGTTTTGTTTTGGGTTTTTTGTGTGTGTGTAAATCTTACTGAAAGGGAATGCCAGTTCCTTCACTAAACAAGCGATATATTTGCCTAATATTTGAAAATTATCTTTAGTTTTTTAATCTGTAAACAGCTTTAAGCAGTGAGAGATTTAATCAGTTCTGTGGTTTCTGATGACAGAAAACACACTTGACTTTTCTCACCAAATTCTTGCAAGGTAGAATGGGTGCAGATTGCAAATCACTTTGCAATGCTGATAGCTTTACTTTCATTCAGTGAAGGGCACAGACCCTCTGTCAGTGACCCCACATTTGTTCTACCAGTGTGCCTCCACACACATCCTCTTGGCTTGAGCCTCCATCATCAAGGTGTGACGCGTTGTGTTGATAGGTGGATAGGGGTCAACACGTGAATGAATGCCTTGTGTGCAATAGCAAGCGAACTGAGGTGCTGAACCAAAATATGTGTGTTGTTTTTCATTGTATCAAAACAGCAGGGGACAGCAAATTTACTTTGTTTTCCTTCAACAAAATCTTTGGAGCTGGGAACATTCATTCAGTAGAATTTCTCAGTACAAAACCTCAGTTTTCGCTTGTTTTTCAGTTGTAGCAATACATTTTCTCTTCTTTGCTTTAGGGCAGGCTGTCATGAGAACTTTCGATCCGGGCCTTCGTCTCCATGCTCACCTGCTGCACCAAGTCAGTCACCCAACAGGTACAAAAGGTCAATAAGAAATTCTGCAGACTGAATACATTTTGTGGTCACTGGTGAACTGCTACAGTGTAAACTATATTTGTGTTATGTAGATGCGCTATTAATTCTTCTAAGTGTTGCAGCTCATAACCATCTACATAATAAATTTGTCGCTCCCTCTCCCTTATTTCCTGCCTACTTCAGCAGTATTGTTCTATTTTAAAATAACACAGTTCAGAAAGCAGCTATAGGACTGCTTGATCATTGAAACTTCAGTGAAATTGAAATGGGATAATATAAGCCCCAGTCAAAAGCAGGCAGTTAAGCGTGAGTTCAGAGCAGTTAAGCCAAAGGATATTGTCTTTATTGTCAATAGTCACATGCTCAGGAGTAAGTTGTGTCCCTGATTCTGTCAGGCAATGAGCTGTGCATTTTGCAATGAATAGATGTTCCAGCTCTAAATAGATAGCAGCTGTAGCTTGACTGAATCACTGATAACTTCTCATGTATTAAGTCAGTTGGTTTATTAAATAGCACAATCATACAACACAGAAACCTTAGAAAGACTTCGTTCTATTTAAACTACATTTTTCTTCAGGCTTGATAGCCATTGTCATTGCCATGAAACTTTTAGGAATTCTTAGTGTTAATAATTTCTTCATTTCTTTTCTGACAGTAGCTGCAGTTTTGGTGGTATTGCACGTTGTTTATTGCTACACATTACAGCTAATCATGATAGCTAGTTCATAGTATTTAAAAGTTATAACCTGACATGTCTCCGTTTTCTAAGATCTCCTGAAATAAATCTGAGTTTTGAAAATAATGGATAAGATGTAATTAATTCTTACAGTAAAATGTTAGAAAACTTCCTTTAAAACTTCCTTTAAATTTTTTTCCCAGCACACTTTATTCTTTGATTTGACATTTGACCTTGGCCATATAGTAACTCTGATAGTGGAAAAGAAATGAAGACAAAGGTGAATACAAAGATAAGGCAATCAGAGCAGAGTGCTTATTGTTGTAGGGAATAGAAGAACCCAAGGAAGCTATTCTAGAAATAATAAAAAGAATGAAACATGAAAAGGCAGTGAAGTGCCTGTGCTATCCAGTATATGTGGTGGGATAAAAAATTATAAGTGCAGTAGTGACAGAGATTAGGTGGAAGCAAATGCAGTTTTCTGCTTGTGATGAGTCTTTCTCTGCTTCTATCTCTTCTGGGGGAAAAAAAAAAAGAAAAAAAAAAAAAGTAGCTTTTTAATCGTGATGCAGCCCAGATCTGTCTCTATTGGTGGTTCATTAAGTTGCTGCACTGGAAACATGAAGCACAATATTGTAAACTTGCTTATCTGTATATAATTTCATCAAACCATCTCCTCAAAGTTCTTGACATATCCTGAAATTTCTCTCTTGGTTTCAGCCCTGGCTGAAAAAAAAACTTGTATGACACATAATCACAAGAGATTCCAGTTGTTCTCAGGTTCATCTCATCAGATGAACATCAGTTCTGGCAGGCTAGCACACAGGTGAGAAGGGAAGAGCATGAAAAGCGAACAACTGTACACCTGTACTGCCATTAAAAACATTATGAAAAAGAGTGTGTGGGGCCCAGCTGTCATCAAACAGCTGATCTATTAGAAATGTCTAAACAGGACTGAATCTGAGGTGAAAGCTGAAGTATTTTCACATTGCAGATGGAAGTCTGACTTCAGCTCTAATCTAACAACTTGGTGTATAACAGGCATGTAGCTGCAGCACCATAGGCTAAAATGAGTTACTAAGTGCCTAAAGCTTGGTCTGTGTCACCACTTATGCTGCTGCTGTTAACTTAGCCAGCTGGTTGAGGTGTAAAAGCAGCATTCCTGCCTTTTGATTTGCATATGGAAACCTATCTGTAAACAAATGGAGAAAATTCCAGGCTGAGAATCTGAGTCAGGTAATATATGTGAGTATCTGCTCTGATATCTTCATCATTGACTGAGTCCTGCTAAGACAACTCAGCATTATCTGAGTGTGAAAAAGCTGAAAAAATAAAATAAAAGCAAAGAGGCTTGCATTTCTCTTGATGTAGCACAGATACTGATAGGGAAATGGGTTTGAGCTCCTGCGCATTTGAGCATTTGAAGCCTTCTGCTTGGTTGGCTGTGTGGCAGATGCAGAGGCTAACGCAGCAAAAGCCTGCTTTAATCCCAAAGCTCAGCCAGAATCTTTATTTCAAGCAATATTTTGAAGCATATGTGTCTTCTGTTAAACTAATAGTCTTTTCCAGTAGAAAAATTCTAAATGATTGAAGGGCCAATGTGCGTCTCTGATGTGAACCTGCTCCTAATGCTTCCTCCCCTCATTATGTCCTTCCCCTTAAGCACTTGGTTGTGTTTTAGTTTCTGGTCTGTTTTCTTAAAGCAGTGTTTTTCTCCTAGGTCTGTCAGTGGAAAGAAGCTTTGTTCCACCTGTGGGCTTCCTCTTGGCAAGGGAGCTGCCATGATTATTGAAACGCTTGGTCTTTATTTCCATATTCAGTGTTTCAGGGTATGTCTCTTACTGTGTCCACCTGCACAAAATCTCAAGTCATCATTCAGCGTGAGGAGAAAGTGTGTTGAGGTCTACAGATATGGAACTGGAAAAGAGAATAGAGGATTGCACGCTTGTTACATTTGTTTGTGGACAAGTGAAAGTAACATTAACTGTAGCTAATGTGTTTGTTGTCAGACATATTAGGTTAAACCTATCACTTAGTAAGTAGACTTAGCTTTGCTTGCAGAGGGAAGCATCTAATAACTTTCCAGTTATTTCCACAGAAATACTTTGTAACCATGTATCAGGTAATGACTCAAGATAGTGTTGGCTAAGTAACTCAGAAAGTGTCCCTTGGAGATATCTTTATCCCAGTTGATATTAACTGTTTGTGAAACCTTACTTTTAGATATCAACTCAGAATAAACCTCTAGCCTTTCTAAGCCTTGTCCTGCACAGATTGGCTCCAGAATGAAATGTAAAATTCAAATGTCCCTTAAAATCACTAGACTTCATTTTTGTGTGAGTGGTGACTGCTGAAGTCCAGTCCTAAAATACCATTTGGCCTAGAGCAAACTTGTCACTGGTTTGCACTGCTCTACAGGACTATGGGTTGGGTTTTGGGGGGGGGTTATTTTTTCTGACCGTTCTCAAAGCTATTGAAAGAAAAGTCAAAATGTTGGGAGAGCTGTGACAGATGCTAGGGCATGATCTGTTGTCCTTTACTGTGCTTCAATTGGCAGTGTGGCATTTGCAAGGGACAGCTGGGAGATGCAGCAAGTGGGACAGATGTCAGGATTAGAAATGGTCTTCTGAACTGCAATGATTGTTACATTCGATCCAGAAGTAAGTACCAAATCCTGTCCTACAGTCTCTGTGCATTCTTTTTTTCTGATTTCACAGTGAATTCTAATAATGCTGTTTCCTTGCTTTTAACTGATGGGCTTTTCTCCTCCTAGAAGAAGTGCATTATGCCCAAATGGCTTTGCAACTCAGGCATAGCTTTGCCTTTGGAAGGGGAACATCCCAACCTCATTTGAGACATCCTCTTGTAACATAAATACTTTCAAGCCAAGTAAATCTTGCCCAGAAAATATCTGTCCAGCAATATTAGGCTTAAAGGTTGCTCCAGTGCATAAATACAAGCTTTATACTGTGCACACACTATGTGTCCTGGAGGCTTGGATCTGTCACCTCATGTGAAACAACACAGATACTTCCACTAGGTCTAGAACTCTGGGCCTTATTTGGTGAAGTTTTTGTTTTCTTTTGTTTTGTTTTTAATGTCTCTAAACGTCTATTTGTACAGAAATAAGTGAGGGAAAATATTAGGAACTATCTGTAACTTCCCATAATGAACCCTTGTGGTGGGATCTCCAGGCATAGTTTGCTGCAAGTATTGAAGACTGAGCCAGATAACTGCATGTCAAAGAAATCCTAATGTGTTTTTCAGTCCTGGAGCCAGTCACTTGAAAATTCTTTCTAATGCTGGGTTTCTAAGACTTGTTACCAAATTGCTGGAGCGTTTTGGAAGGCGCAGAAAAAAAAGATGGGAGTAATCTTTGCCTTCCTGTTACCTGTCAGTGTTCTGTGTATACACTGCCTACAGCTGTAATTGAGGAGTAGGGATATAGAGCACTTTTCTCCTATTCCTGCTGTTTCTCCTCCTCTCCCTCCAAAGCAGTAGACATCCAGGAGTCGGCAAAGCGCCTCTTGATTTTTTTTCTCTCAGGTGTTTCATGTCAGCGACATTTCCCCATCAGCAGAGCTAGGGGGTGCTGTTGTATAATTATTTCCTTCGTGCTTTTTTTAAATTCTACTGTGAAATGTTAGCGACTTTTTTGTATTAACTGTTTAACCTAGTGCACTTAGAAACAGTTTTTCCTTCGAGTCTTGATACCATAAAACTCCCTCCTGTAGGTCAAGTCCTCATCTTTACAATGCACATTTAGACATCTGCATCTACACGAAAAAGAGAAGAATGTGATAAAAGTCATATTTTTCTTTTCTTCATAATCGTTTTTGCTTAAACAAGAATTGAGGTCCCATAGGGATAGCTGAAAGCTTAATTAGATTATGTGTCAGCCTGTATGCTGTAGAAATCATTCCATTATCATTTCTACTGCAGCATTGCTAGAAGAGGCATCACAGAAGTGATGTGCAGTGTTTTGTGCTGGGAGATTTTCAATTTGTGCATTTTGAACACAATAGGAATCAGGCTGATGACTGTGGGAATAGGTTTTGTGGAGATGGATACTTTCTGAAAAATAATAATGGCAAAGGTTTGGGTTTTTTTTTTTTCCTGCATACTGCCTCTTTGTGCTGTGTCTGTGCCTCATGCAAAATCTCAAAAACTGGTTCATGTTGACAAGCTCAAAGGGACCTGCTTTGATGTCATCAACCTGCAAACATGGTTACACTCTCATTTTTAACTTAAATTTGATGAACTCCACTTCTGAAATGAAGAACAAACTGGTGCAATGCTCATGTGCTGCTTTCTGGTTCGACAGAGTCTGCTGTTAAATATAAAATGAGTTGCTTTCCTCTGCCCTGTTGAACTCTAAAAAGCCTACACAGCAGTGTACACAGCTGATGATCTCTGACAAGCCTGTGGTTGATCAGTATTGCTCTGAAATGCTTACAGACATCTCAGTGAAATATTTTGACTGCCAGCATCTTGCTTATTTGAAACTGGGGGTGATTTTTTATTTATTTATTTATTTTTTTCCCCAAAATCAAGTCTGAAAAACCTTAAGAGAAAAATGCATTAAAGATTTTATAGCAGCCCAGGGTATATTTCTGCTTTCTAAATGAAAATGGATAAGGGATTTTGGTAGATTATTTCTCTACCCTAGAACCTCCCCATGGCAATTACTGAGGGGAGCTCAATATTGAATGATAAACATACAAACAGTTACAGATCTGTGGATGTTGAAGTCAAAGGCGAGCAGCAAATTGAAGAGATTCTCTGTGTGGCCAAGTGACACAAGGGCTCTGTATTGTCAGATAACACAAACCAGGCACAGCTGAAGATGACTCACCAGCCCTTTGCTTCACTGTTTTGCCACTGCAGAGCCTAAAAGTAAATGTACCCCCAAGTACTTCCAGAGCAAATGAAATAAAAGTGCGTGCAGATCGCAAATGGCACAGAATTCTTTGCAGTTGGTGCCCCAACTTTGCAGGGAGGAGGAGAATCAGTGCACAAACGATACATATTTCCCGGTTGTTTTTTTGGTTTTTTTTTAGTGATAGAGATGGAAGGAAGAAAATCCTTGGCATTCCATTTTCTTCAGGAAAAATGTTTGTTAACATTTGTAAGCTAACAACTTTGTTTTGTTTTTCCAGCTGCTGGACAGCCAACTACATTGTGACATGACTTTCAGTGCTAGTAACTTTCAAGGAGGAACTCTCTTCTCACATGTATCGGCTGCCTCCAGACAATCATTTGTAAGAGCTTGAATTCATGGACATAGTGGCTCTCATCTCATTTTGAAAAGCTCATACAAGTGCTGCACCTGCTCCTTTAAAATGCAATATGTTGGTTTTCCCTTTCTTAAGAAATTTGCAGAGTATGTATGACCATATTTGTTAAGGCAAAGCCTAAGTACTATAACAACAAAAACAAATCCCACCTTTTCAGGTATGTTTATGATTTTCAGTCTGTTACTTTGTTCTCCTGAAAGTAATAAGAAAATAAACATGCAATAAAGCTGTTTTGTGTTAACATTTCTAGGAATTAAAATTTTGAGTTTACAGAGCCTTTATAGAATATGCCAAGTTGAGATGAGAAGTAATTTTAAGATAGCCTCTAATCATTGCATTTGAAAAACTAAGCATCACAGCACATGACTGCTCTGTTATAACTGAAGCTATAACTTTTTTTATACAGAGACTAGTTTGATAATACATCCTGTAATTCTGAGACGTTTTGTGTTTATATTACCTTCGGCGGAGGGTAGGAGTTATACAAATAAATTATTGCACCTTTAGCAATAGGATTTTTTGTTTGTGTACCTCAAGTAATGTTCATGACTATAGCTTGATATTCTCTCAAATAAAGAGTTCTTCATTAAACCTAAAGACTGTATACCGTTAACGACTGCATGGTTCCCATCAGGAGCAGTCCTCCTCAGCAGGTTCAGAAGCCAGTGTTGTTACGAGGTTTAAGGATGGGGTGATTCAGGGAGAGGCTGCGGCGTGGGTGGACGCAATGCCTTGTGAGTCTGTGAGCTGCAGAGCGATGGTTACAGTGAAGCTTTCCCGGTTGTGCAGCATCCCGCTGAGGGGCTGAGTTGTTCTGAGGTCTGCTGTTCCACTTGCAAACACTGTGCATGGTTGAAATCTCATGGGGAGAAATGTGTTTGGCCCTCTCCAGAGTTCTCCCATTAGTTCAGCACTGAATTACACAGCTGTGAAGCTCTGTTTTCCATCCTCCCAGACAAAATGAGCAAAACCGACAAGCATGGAACACGGGCACGGATGCTGATAGCGACAGGCAGTGGCTTGCTCCAGTGTTTATGCTTTTCGGTGAAGTGTGTGCTCCTTGTGAAGAGTTCCTGCAGCTTGTGGAAACAGCAGCTAGAGCTGTGTGAGCTTGTCAGAACACACAGATGAGTTTAGGTGATGTGGTACAGCTGTAAAATACAAAGGAAATGGTTATTTGCAGTATCCCATTTTAGCTGTTTGCAATGCAACTTAAATGGAGGGAAAAACATCAACTTATTTTGCCTTAGAACCGTGATTAAGTTATAGAGATTTATGTATGTGCTCATCCATTTTCTTTTGATTTGCTGGGAAACGGAAATCAAGTTGTTATTAGGACAGCAATAATTTGGGGTTGTAACATAGCTGACAACGATTTGTTTAAACAAAGGCAACTGCTTGCATGTGAGCTGCACACCGATTGAGAACTGCACGTCACTGCCAACACATGGGCAGTGCTGTCATCTGGGGACATCGTGGCGATGGACTGGGAAGTGTCACCTCCTTAAATTGTGCCTTAGAAAACACAAAGCTGTTGCACACCGTCAGCGATGACTTACGGATGCAATATATCCAAAACCCTGAAGTCCTTCATGGGCTTCACATGGGGAATAATTTTTAAAAAACTGAAAATCAGAAAAATGCTTTGGGAGTACTAGAGTGAAGCCCAATATTTTGATTAACATGATTTGTGGCATGATTTACTGTAAGCAGGTTTTGGTAACCAGCATGGTTACCCTTTGCATGTGGTCAATGTAATGATTTCCTGCAGATAATGCATAACATGAAAAAGCAAAAAGCAGATTTTATACACTGCTTTGTTCATCTGCGCAGTTCCATGTGCTGCATTAAGGGTATGTGAACATACACAGTGCCTGGGCCTAAGTTTTGAAGAAGACCTTTAGTGCATGCGTGTGTGTCTGTTTGGTCCCAGACACAGCTTCCCCCTGTGCTGTAGTGTAGGTGTGCAGGAGAGCTGGCGTCACAGATGGGGTGTGCTTATCCTGAACCTTGTGAGGAGAGCCCCAGATGTCTGGAGCATGCATGGGACTGAAATGCATGAGCAGGGATTGGGCACAGCATCTCTGGGCTGCTCAGCTTATCCCATGTCTGTCCACAGTGTCAGATGTGCATGCTGTAGTGAATATGATTGTATGTAAAGCAAAAAGAAGCAGCAGAGTCCTCAGGCTTCAGATTTCCCCTTAGTGAGCATCTGTTCACCAGCACAGAATAGTTTTCAACAGTTTTCTAAATCATACATACCAACAGCTTACATTTGATTTGTATTTCCTTTGGAGTCTTGCACGGCAAATTCATTCAGGCTAATTTCTTTTGTTTTATTTCCATTCTTTCCTGTTTCAACCCATGACTATGATACATTTCTTATCAGGAACTTTAAGCACAGAAAGAAAATAACGCTTCACGACATTTGAATTACAATGTAAATGCATTCATTGCAAAAAGGATTTATTATTGCTAAGCACGTACAATGTATGTAATGGGTTCTAAATGTTTCAAAACTTATTTAGCCTCTCATTACTCCAGAAAACCTGACTAGGTGTCATAGCCCATCTGTGTCCCACTGTCCCTCTCCCTGTGGTGTGTTTTCTTTGCTGTGTAGTGTTACTGACACCGCACATCTGTAGTTTCCAATCAGTGTCCCAAAGGTCAGTGCACCGGAGGGGACCATCCCTATGTGCGTGTCCAGTCAGGGCAGGGATTGCTGTCCTTGCTGTGCTGATATTGAATACCATTTACACTAATCTTTCCTTCTTTTTATTTATTCTAAAATGCCTCTGGAAATTGGGAAAACTTGTCTAAAATGCAACAGCTTTTATAGTAAATGTATGTTTATAAATAAAATGTTGATTACCTTTGGTGGTGTCTCTTTACTTATTGTAACTAATTTGCTGTGCTGTGTGTGGTGTATTTGTCAAATGGGACTGTGGGGTGTGAGCATCCCACAGTAAAAAGCTGCCACATGGTTGGTGTAGGCTGAGCCTCGCAGAAGTGGAGTGGGACAGGAAGGGAGGCACACAGGGGAAGGACACAGCTCCAGGGCTACTGCTCCAGGGTATGTAGAAGGGCACGTGTGCCTGATGTGAGAAGTAGCAAGCACAGATGGCTTCCTGTGGCTGTTGTGGCTGTGAGTTGAACCCAAAGCCTCTGAAGGCTTTTCACTGATGGCAGTGGGCTGTGGTTCAGATGATGGCTCAATAAAACACTTTAGGTTTGCAGAACTGAACTTGTGCTTGGGTAATTCTGTTTCTAGGTATTTCTAAGAGTTTGTGCTTGGCTGTGCATGTGCTAATTTGTGGATCCCAATCAGTCTCTGGTTACTTCAGCAGTAACCAGCAGAACGCTCACACCAAGTTCTGAGCCCCTTTCTCTTCCTTTTATCTGGGCACTCTGGATGGCCGGTTTGATTCTGTGCCAGAAGCACATCTCAACTGTTAGATGAGTCACAGGGAAGCATGGACAATTTGATTTTTTCCAAAAGTAGATTTTTATCCTGATGCCTGGATCCTAGCTGCCTTAATGGAACTACACCATTTCTGCTTAGCTGAGGGCCAGGAGCTGTGGGTGCACCAGGTGTCCTGAGGGGGGGGGGGTGGGGGCTGGCACCAAGGCTGCTGGGCACAGCTTTGGTGACTGTTCATCAGGGATAGTGGTTGCTGCCTGCTTTCAGCTCTGTGACAATCAGCTGTAGGTGCAGCTCTGGCTGTCTGATTTAGCAAAGTGATATATGTGGTCAAATGGTCCCCTTCCTGACGGCAGGCAGTGGTTAGAGATGGTGCTCAAAGAATTTGGGGAGGGCAATCACTCTTCTCTGCTCTCCTGAGGGCTGGGTGGCAGCAGTGCAAGGTGACAACAGCTCTATCTCAGGGACACGTCCACAATGAGGGTAGGAAGTGCTGTGGACACTGGGACCAATCAGGTCACCCCCTCCCCCTGGGTTGGAAAGCAAGTGCCAGAAAAATGCATCTCCTTTAAGGCTGAATAGGGCTCCGCTACACTACTAAAAGCCTCCGGTAGGAATGTAATTTCATCTGAATTTCCTGATAAGGGGAAATGACTAAACTGGAAACTGCTCAAGTTTTGAGAGCAGTAAGAGCCCAAAACAGAGATAGGAGGCACGGCTAGGCTGTGACTGTCCTCACAGTGTGCTGCAGGGCTGCAAGCTGGGGATTTTCACTTTTCTTGGTCATCTGTTTCATAACATATAACATGAATGAAGCAAGGAGGTTGGATGCTTGCTGCACTCTGCTGGAGGAGCCATTGGAGCCCTCCTCCCCAAACTGGAGCTATCCTCTCCAAAGCATATGGGATTTTAAATCATTTTGGGTGAAAATAATCCATCATTGGATACAGTGTGATGAGTCACTGCTAACTCATCTGTAGAGTCCATCTGCTTCACCGCATATGAGGCACTGCAGATTCTCCTAGCTAATGCTGCATCCATGATTCGCAGACCCATGTGCTCTAAGCAGGTCACATGCTGCTTAAAATGTGCTGGGGGCTGGTTGCATGTCTGTAGAAATTAAAGAAAAAATAATAGAAATGCTAATCTTTCCTTGAACAATAAGATTTATCAACAGAAAGCGGAAAATCAGATTTGAAAAAATTCCTTTTCTCTGTCACTTCTGATTATGGATAACACACTGCTCCAGTGACAAGCATGGGGATAGAGATATGCCACCCACATCTCTGGGAACTATGGGAGCTTCAGAATCACCAGAAATGAGCCATCATTCTACTCCTTAAGAGGTTCGGCGGTGTAAACTATGAAGATCAGTATTCTCTGCAAACAAGAAAATTTTCTGTATTAATTCTATCTGAGAGAGCATGATTGCTGCTGTTGGGAGAAGTCTTTTGCAAAATAAAACAATTACATGTGTGTACCCAGTAGCTGAGGGTGGGATGTCGTGCTCAGCAGGGCATGGCACATACACTGCTGCCTCACAGCATCATTAATCTCCTAAAGGATGTATTTTTGTGTGAATGTGAGACATCATAGAATATGTACTTGGAAGTACTCCTCAGGACGCTTGTAGTTCCACTTGCAGGACTTGTATCATCTCTTCAGATGATGAATGCCTGATGGATGCTTGGTGAAGCAAAGGCAGAGTGCTGGGGATGCTATGCTGATGGCGGTGGGAGGTGCAGGGGAGGAAGAGGCCTGGGCCAGTCACCAACCTCCCCTCAGATGCCAGGCGTTCTGCTATTAGGGCAGAAATTCTTCCCAATTTATCAATGCAGCATTTTTCACCTTATTGCTGTCCAATCCCAATTAGGAAAAGGGGCCAACAATAAGTATGGCATCTGCCTGATGTGCTTTGGAGAGTTGCAAGCAGCCACAGCCTGTAGTGGGAACTCCTGTAGGACCATATCAATAACTGAAGCAGCACCAGTCTGGCAAAGCTACATGCATGCTGCATTGATAATTTTTAATAGATCCCTGTGTCTAGCAAGGACAACGTGGTAAGATGCATTTCTCCACTGTCTGCCCTCACACCTTTCATCATGGAAAGAAAATAAATCCTACAACATCCTTCCACTGGTTTGCAGTTTTAACAGTTGTCCCCATTTTGACAGTGATCTGCAGCCTGAATACAATATCAGTTGTTTCCTTTGCACTGCAGTAAGCCAACACAATTTGGACAAGATTCTGAACAATTTTAAGTACCACAATACCTGAGCACCCAGCCTCTTCAGCATGGAGTCAAAAGCAGGCAGCAATCTGAATGAACACCTTGGAGAGCAGATATTTTTGTTTGTCTGGTATTGTTCATGCTTGCTTTGCAGGGTTTTCTGATATAATATCTCCATCCTTGGAGAGCTCTAAAAGCCACCTGGACATGGGCCTAGGCACACTGCCCTGGGTGTCCCTGCTGGAGCAGGAATTGGGCCAGGTAGACCCAAAGGTCCCTTTGCACCTCAGCCGTCCTGTGAAAAGCCATCACATGCACTTCTCACAGGACAAATCCCTGCTTACACAGGAAGATGATGACCCACATGAGGCTGGGGCTGGCCACAGCTGGAGCAGATGGCCCTGGTGTCTCAGCATTGGCCAGCAAGTAGTCTGACAGATCAGTAGCAAGGAGAAGCCAACCAAGGCAAGGCTGAGATGAGAACATGGGGGTCCAGAAGCTTTCTGAACTAACCAAAAACAGAATACCATAAAAAGCATGATAAAACCTAAAAATAAACTGCATGGACGCTACCTATACTGTGCACCAGGAGTTCTATGCTTGTTCTAGAAGAATATCCGCTATTTCTTTTGGAGTGTAGCAAACACAGCATGACAGCAATCATTAGAAGGGGTTTATTGATACAGGAGGATACCGTAGAGTTCAGAAAATTAGTTCATCTCAGCAAATCCTCTAGCTCCACTAGAAGAAAACAAGCACACAAGCAAAAGATGTCCCTCCCCTAAGACGCTCAACGTGTGCTCCTATGTCGAGCCATTGATGCAACTGCTGCCATCCAGCTGAAGGACTGAGGCTTTGTAAATCAGATTTCAAGTAAAGAGATTGGTTTGAGAAACCTCCTCATTGCAGAGTCACAGGCTGTCAGAGTTTATTAGCATTATGGTGCTGGAGTAAAAAGCAAAACAAATTAAGATGTTTAACAGCTGAAATCTGAAACAAAATTGTTTTTAATGCTGAAAATCTTGTTAACATATTTTCAGGCTTCCCTTTCCCAAGGTATTAAATCTCAGCACATGTTTGCAAGCATCTTTTTACCACCGTGGCAGCAGGAGGACACGGGCTGCAGTGCAGTGCATGGAGCCAGGCAGTGTGGCCTCAGCCATGGCAGTGGGAGGGCCTGGAGGAAGAGCAGGAACCAGAGCTCTGTATCTGTGCAGGCAGGGAGCATCACCAGCAGCCAGGGGCCCGCCTGTACAGGGTCTGGCTCTTAATAGGAGGGGTAATCTGAACTCCCAAACTGATTTCCTTTCATGTTGGCTCCCACAATGAAAGAACCATTAAGGGTTTTAGTGATCTTCCAAGGCTCTGCTTCCAGAAGAAAATTGGCTCCTTTTCCTTGGACACAAGACCAATTTTTAATTGAATTTCAAGAGATGATGGATGTTGTGCTTTATTCCAAGTCTATATGCTAAATTAACAAGGCTGTCTGCTTAGTTTCCTCTTTTGAAACCACATTGAGATGAGTTTCTGCTAATTCTCTTGCACAGGGCATTGGACATGTGAACCAAGCCCTTATTCAAGAGCTGAAATAGGCATTTTGGCCAAGATTATTACCCTGGGTAATAAATTGGTGCTGTGAGGCTGTGACAATAATTCACTTTCTGAAAAAGTCTTATGGATTTAATTATTTCAAATGGATCAGTGAAAATAAAACTAAACACGTCGGATATTTTCACCAAAGTATTTTAAAAATTATTAGTTAACACTCAAAACATCTCTCTTCAGGGAGGGAATATCCCATTCATTCTAGATATTTACGATTTGTTCCTCCAGTCACCTCACAGCTAACAGAAAGCCCCAAGGAGTACACTGCAGTACTGCTGGAAGAGCTTGCAGCCAGGAGTGATGCTGCATGAGTGCTTATTTAAAAGCCCCCTATGTGCGATTTCAGGGTGGTTCAGGAACACTAAAGAGCATTTCAGGGTGGTTCAGGAACACTAAAGAGCATCAGCAGTTTTCTTGGGGCAGCACATGCTACTGCTCTTCCTACCTTGCAGCGAGCTCTCTGGATCAGTTGAACAAACTGGCCACATGTATTGTTTCTTGCATTTAATTTATCAGATAAATGTAATTTCTCCACTGTCACCTTCCTACAGGTGATGCAGTGTGGAAAAGCAGTTTGAAATC